AGCACACTGTTGACAAGATACCCCTCCTTGTGGCTGGCTTGTCTTTCAGCTGAATCTTGAAACTGAAAACATCTTCATCTGTATGCCACAGCATGCCAAGTGCCCTCTCTGTTGGCAACTTGTCCTTGTCAAAGTCTAGCTCCTGCACTGTACTTGCTCTCTCCTCCTTGGGTATGGCATTCAATACTCTTCTGTCATTGCTCACCCATTTTGTGAGGTGGAATCCTCCTTTCTTACAGGCTTCTTGTAGGCCCTCTGATAGCTCTGCAGCTTCCTGGACTGTTGAGCTTGAGTACAAACAATCGTCAACATAAAAGTTGCGCTTGATGATATGTGCCACCTTGTCCTCTGCAAAGTCTTCTGCTGTGCGCTTCAGGGCATAATTGGCACAAGCTGGTGAAGATCTAGCCCCAAACACATGAACAGTCATGCGGTATTCCTCAATAGGTTGAGCGACATTGCCATCTGGCCACCACAGAAATCGATGTAGATCCTTTTCTTCCTTTAGCAGTTTCACTTGTGAGAACATGGCTTCTATGTCTGCCATTACTGCTATGCGGTCTTGACGAAACCTTGTTAATACACCCACCAAACTATTTGTGAGGTCCGGCCCCTGTAGAAGATTGTCATTCAGTGACTTGCCCTTGAAAGAAGCTGCACAGTCATACACCACTCTAATTTTTTGCTTCTGTGGGTGATATACACCGTGGTGAGGAATAAACCACATCTTTCCATCTTCTCTAAGGAACTCGTCTTCTGGTACTCTTTCAGCGTACTGTTTGTTCAGCACCTTATCCATAAACCCTACATACTCCCTATGGAACTGCGGCTGTCTAGCGAACTTCCTCTGCAGGTGGTTGAGTCTCTGCTCTGCCATGGGCCTGTTGTTGGGCAGGTCGACGTCTCCCTTGAATGGCAGTCCGATTTGGTAATGCCCTTGTGTTAGCTTGATGGATCCTTCAACCTTTTCCATAAATCGTTTATCCTCTTTGGATTCTTCGACTTTATCTTCCATCAAGCGTTCTGAAAACTCAGTGTTGTAGAGATTATTTAGCTGTTGCTGAATATCTTCCATCACGTGGACTCTGTGGGAGGCTATCTTGGACCCACTTCTCTCTTGCTTGCAGCTTCCAAAAACCATCCACCCTATGATAGATTTGCAAGCGAATGGTCCGTCGTTCTGACTATTGATAACCTGCAGTGGTTCCATTGCTTTAGGGACGTTATTGCCAATGAGGATGCCCACGTCTGCATTGATCTCCGGCAAGTTTATTTCTTGTAAGTAGGGCCATCTTGCAATGTCATTCCTTCTCAGTATGTCTGACTTGTCTACAGGGATGGGCTGTATGTAGACGTCAGAAAGTGGTATATATGTGTTCTCATTCACATCAGCTACCTCCAGGTCTTGCAGTATGCAGGTCTTGACCAGCTTATCATCTGTTAATGTTTGAAGCTGGATAGTGCGCGTTCTTCCTCTGGCATTTAGTTTGTTTTTTAACTCTTCTGTGCAGAAAGTTGCGTTACTCCCGTTGTCAATGAATGCGTATGTGTGTACACATTTCCCTGTCTGCTTTGAGCGTACAGTCACAGGCACAATGGCCGGTTGGGAGTCCTGCATAGAAGTGCGGTTGGATAACGTGCGCTTTACGTCTGGGAAATTTTCATTTCCAATTTCTTCTCCTTCTGTTTGTCCTTCCGAGCTTTCCTCCTTCTTCCTATTAGCTCCAACGTCGTCATTAGTACGTTGTTTCTCTGATTCACCATTCCTTTTCACTTGTTTCGATGGTGCCCAATCTCTATGAAGAAGGGTGGGGTGTAACCTTTGACAAATCTTGCAGGTCGTCCTCTGTTTACAGTCCCTGGCAAGATGTGAAGACTGAAGGCAGGCAAAGCACAGTCCTTTGGATTTGCAAAATGCAAGTTTCTCCTCATGAGGTTTCTTTCCTAGGGCCTTGCATTCTGCTGTAAGGTGATTTTCCATGTCACAATACAAACACTTCGCTTCCTCGCTCTTCTTCATGCTGGAGCTGAAGCCCTGTTTATTCCCTGGAAAGGGTTTTGTCTTTGTCTGCGTTTCTCCAGCTCTGGCAGGTCCTACAATATTGCCATAGATAGGGTTGTTGATTATCCGGGCCTGTTTACTAATGAAACTAACCACGTCCTTGAATGAGAGTGGCTCGTCCCGATTCTGGAGTATGCCGTCGACATAGCTCCTCCATCTATCTCTCAGCCTGAACGGCAGCTTTGATATGACCATCTTCAAGTGTTGTGCGTGGTCAATCTCCTGTTGAAGGTGTAGGTCCTTAGCCAAATTGCCTAGCTCAGTCACAAACAATGAATAACTAAGCAGGCCCTCCGGATCCTCACCTCTAATGTTTGGCCATGCCATTGCCTTGATGATCATAGAGTCCAGAACATGATGCTTATCGCCAAACTTGCTTTCTAGCAGCATTGTTGCCTTGTTGAATGCTGCCTTGGAATCACCTCCATACATGCAGCTTCTGACCATCTCATTCGCCTTTCCCCTAGTATATTGTTCCAAATAATATAGTTTGTCAGAGTCCTCCGATGTCTTGGACTCTATTACATGCTGAAAAGCCCTCTTAAAGGCGTGGTAGTTCAGGGGATTCCCGTCGAAAGGCTGAATGTTCCTTTGCGGTAAGGCGGACTTCATATGACATTCTAAGAGCATGTACGTAAGTTGGGTTTGTTGTCGCTGCAGCTCTACCCAATCAACATCACTATCAGAATTTGTTCCACTTACTCGTACATCTTGCAAATGTTCTCGGTTCTTGCGTCCTTGTGTTGAACTCTCTTCTGAGCAATCTGCATTCTTGACTTTGTGACTTGTTTGGTTCCTATCACTTTCATGTGTTACATGAGCAAAGGTTGGTAATGCAGGTGGCTGGTGAAAAGCTACCGTATCGTCGAACTGCTGTAATGCTGCTGCTTGGGCTGTAGCTGCAGCTAATTCGGTCTCAACAGCAAGTTGCTCCTTTCTTCTAATTAAGTCCTGCTCTTCTTTCTCGAGCTCCTGTTTCCTTTTTAAACTCTTCAACTTTGCTTGCAATTCTGCTCTCTTCATGGCTGTTTCCATCAAAAATTTCCTGGAATGTGATGTTGATTTGCTTGATATTTGAGATACACTGTCATCTACTTCAACCCTCTCCATCGCTGAATGTTTTCCTGCGTTCATTGAAGGAGAGTCAAACAGTTGGTTGACTTCCATCCATGGGTCTCGATCATGCAGTAACGGGTCCATCCGAATACTAGTAGCTGGATCTTGTTCATCCTGCCCTTCCATGATGATCTGATCCACTGACACAACAATCCTAATGTGGGGCTGTATCCATGACGGCTGCTGTCAACCTAAGGCTTTCAAGTATGCATTTCATGTGCTTATTCTTCTATACCACATTCACTGTTGCAGGTTTTCCAGCCTCTTTCCATATTCTGCACCGCTTGTAACTCAGGCGATATCAGCTGCAGCTAACTGGCATAGATCTATTTCTGATTTCTAAAAACTTCCTGAAATAGCTCCACTAGTATGTATGCCACTAGACTAGACCCTCTACTCTAGCCTTCTGTAATTAAGAGCAGTAGCCAGTAGACATATTCTCCATTCTTGGCTAATCTCTGACTGACATTTGTCCATTCAAATCAACCGTAACATCTGGCCTTCTGGGCATCTAAATATAATGTAGATCTAGTCTAACCTCTAGACTGGAGTCTAGAAATCTAGTCTTAGTCACTGTAGATTCTACGTCTACATCTCAAGTAGATATTTCAGGATTCCAATTTCTTTATCCTTTTCAACAGATTCCTGAATGCTAACCAGTCTCTTTATTTAACATCGTTAGGCCTTCCTCTGTTAGCTTGTGAAACCAGAATTTTAACTTAGAATGTGGGTGCAAAATGACCTTGAAGTAGTCAGATAGTCTGTCTTTAGTTCTCCGTTTTTAGACTAGGTCTGGAGGTCTAGGCTTAGACCTCGACATTAATTCTCTGACTGTATTCTGTCCAATCACGTCATTCTTTCGACTCAAAATACACCCACAACTAGTGATCATGCTCTATTCATAGACCTCTCTAGGCCTAGTCATATTCTCATTTATCAGACTGGTACTGCACTGGTCCCTTGTTGTTCACGATCACCTTTGACTGGCCAAGAACCCAAGTTCACCTTATTATAGTTTCAACGCTCCTCTCAGCTCCGTTCCGTCCTTTAATATCTCGCAATCTGACACTATTCACACGTACATCGTCAATCCACGTACCGTACTGTAGAATTGCAATTGCAAGTGTAGAAATCAATTGTCGAATACCAATATAATGTCTCGAAAACTTTAATTTTGAAGCCTTTACTATAACCACATTTCACGTTACTCACGTCGGGTCGATCACAATGTTATTATACAATGATTGCATCCATTCCAATTGTTGTCCAAAACCAAACAAGATCATAAAACGGAAATATGAAGTAGGGAGAAGAGGTTAAAATTCTGTCTTGTTTCCAAGGGTTACTGCCAGTGATTATTCGCGCTTTTCCTCCCCTCAAACTTATTAAATTTTAAAACCGACAAGAGATGGCGCTCTTGCATTAGTTTGGCATCTACAAGATTATCTCTATTTTCTTAATATAAAGGGACAACGATACCATGCACAGTCTGCATTAATGGTGAATACACGAGTCATTCAATGCTTAGTGCTCTTTCTAAATTCAGAACAACATTAAAGATACATATACCAATACGACACTGTACTACGCAATCTTCAACATATTTGCTCCACATTCAGACATACAGTAGTAAACTGCAGCAGGAAGTTGTTTCAAGGCACAGTTTACTGTTTTGTGTGAATAGGGCTTACTGGGTGTCTTGACGGGTCTTGAGTGGTTACTTAAAAATCTGACATTTCACGACAATTTGGCTTACCAGTAGTCTCACACAAGTATTTCTGAATCAAGTCATGTTCTAGTTTCATATTTAGTCTTCAAATTGGCTTGGTTCAGGTTTGTGTCTTAGCAACGGTTTCCATCCTCACTGACTCCACCCTTGTTGAACCTTGTGAACTATCAAGCTCTTAATTTCACTGTCAATGCCAAATATGACATTGCTTTGTCCACATTCTTTGTTAAGACCACCTATTTCCCAGGGGCTTTATCATGAGAGAAAATTTAAGTCCTGGACTTATTACACTAACTGCCTGGATCAGTCAAAGTTAGCATTCTGTCTCAGCCATGCTCTCATTAATTTTTTTTTTAAAAGACGATTAAGTCCTGGAAATATCACGCTGCGCGTTTCACTCACAGTCATGTATCTGCCTTGGCCATAGATTGCATTGTCTTTTCCATATTCTTGGTACAGACTTTCTCTTTCATTGGTACTCAAAAACCTATCAAATCCTGTTAGCACACTGCTTGCTTCCATTGAGGTCAAGACTCTGTCTTTGCCATGGTCTCAATCCTGGCTTTCTTCATCCTGAGTGACCTCTGAAGCTCTTTAATCCTGAGGTCAATATCATGCACTGCAGTGTCTTGTCCATATTCTTTATCAAGGCCTTCTCCCCTCTGTGGCTTGGCCATTGAAGACTGTAAGATAATTAAAATAAAATGCAACTTTAATTTCAATACTGCACACAGAGTTTAAGATAAAATTAGAAAATATGTGTATTTCATTTTTGTACAGGGCTTTGCACATTATGATATCAGACACCTACTTTAATACTAAAAATAGGTCAAGCGAGACTATAAAATAATGTCTTGCTAAAGAACTTAAGTTGGTGGATTGGTCCCCACCTGTTGTTTTGTTTCAGATTATGCCATATCAATTAAACATGACATTCCTTTAGGATCACCCTCTTAGCTATTGAAGTTGATGGCATTGCTTCTAGATGGGTGTTTTTAAATCAGAACTATACTAGACCTTGTTTTCAAATTGACATCCCTCTACGTAGGTATATTTGGATATCACTATATGGTCTGGTGTGGATTAATTGCGATTATGATTGTGATGTGGGTAATTACACATTTTTTTTTTTTATCAAGCTATACACACTTAAATACATTTAAACTAAATTTGGTCCTTAGATCAAAGATCAAACTTTCTAGATTTAATGTATCAAAATGGGGATGCTAATTTTCAAACATGAAAGAAATGAACAGAATTTAGGGTGATAACTTACTGATACATTTGCATATTCTGGAGAGACGCTTTCTAAGTGTAATAATCTTTTTTCTAGATGCTTCAGTCTTTGGAAAATGTCCCCTGAAGAATTATGACCTAAATATACAAAAAACATAAGAAATTAGACAAATGAAAGAATAGAACATTTCCAGTAAACCAAGGTTTAACTATCTACTATGTCATAAATCTATTCACAGAAGAACAATCAAGTATAATAAAAGTGTGGACGTCTGAAAAGGAATACAAGACATTTAAATGGTTTACTGGCTAACTGATAATCAAAAGTAACAATACAGGCTACAGTATTTAAAGAGTCTAATGCTAAGTCCAAAAACAGAAAGAAGAAAATTGAGATGTACACCGTGTATATGAAAAAAAGATTCTTTCAACTAGTCAGATTAGCTTGTTTCCCTTTGTGTTTTTTTAAAGGTTTAATAATGAAACATTTCAATATCTACACAAAATATAGCATGAATTAATACAGTACTGCTATCCAATAACATTGAAAGAAATAAGCAAAAACATTATATATTTGGGTAATTCCATAAATTAGTGACCCAATTTGTGACATTTGTGACCGTTAATTATTTAATTAAAAATAACGATACAAAAGTCGGCGATATTGTGGGTAATATAAGCAACACGAAAATGCCAACAAAAAACAACATCGGCATTGGCTGAAATGCGAAGTAAAAGGCGTTATTTTGTTTTTTTCAACGTTTTTTTTCAAATTTTTCAAAATATCTAATATTTGTGGTGGTACTAAAGTATTAGAAATCATTATATATCAGCTGTCTCTGAACCGATTATGATCAAACAAAGACGATTTTGTCATTTAAATATTATGTTCTTTCAAATTTGACACTCAGGTTTCCATTATCTCACAAAAAAATATTTTGTGTAGCGCCCTCTGCAACAGAACTCAACTATCCCTTTAAGTCTTTACTCAGAGCCACAAATATGTGTGGGTTCCTTATGTAACAGGGACACCAAAAGTGTCACCAAGTGGGTCCCTAATTTATGGAATTACCATTAGCATAAAACAGACAATCCTAAATGTCCATGGCTTCAGCAATCTACTACGGCAAACATTTTGTAAAATGGGCACAAACCTTAGGTTTGCCCTTCCAAATTGTATTTGGCTTGATTTACCATAAAGTTTGATTTGCAAATAATAAAACCAGACACAAACATTATGACCTATCTATTAATATGTAAACATATACCTGTTTTAATTTTGAGGAAAGATTCCATGTTGTGCAGCCTTTCCTCAACCCCTGTCACAGGACCAGCTGCACCATCAGAGCCAGAAGACTCTCTTTGAATCCGTTCTCTTTTAACTGCAGGTCTTACATGAGGCATCGTGATCAGAGCTGGTCTTGTTTGGGGTCCATACTTGTTTACTACCTTAGATACTGTGAAGAAAAATATAGGTAATTCAGCCATTAACATTTTGACTGTCATTCACAAAGCTACACAATCATGAGGACAGACTTATTGCCTTTATCCTTATGTCACACAATATTTAATTTCTATCAAATGATGCAATGAATCATCTTAAATAATTAACAGTTTAAACAAAAGTATTTTTAAAAGACAGGACACTCAAAGATAGAAATTACAGTAATTGCATATCAATTCATTTTTTTACAAATTTGTAATCACTACTATGATTTTCATGGTTATCTCATGATCCCTATAACTGACAATTGATGTTGCAACACAATAAGCTACAAAATATTTGTTTAATTGATTCTATTTGGCGACTGACTGGTACCTTTAACATGGCTCTTTCCACCAGTCTGGGATGTGAACACAGCGTCTGTTCTTGCACAGGAGGTATCTGATGAATGGGGCACCATGGTACAGAACTCCCTGCAATTAGTATCATCCTTCTCTGTCTGCTTGCGATCTATGAATGCCTGGATCCTCCTGTAAATCTAACAGAAAAGGGAAATTATTTATAATCACAGAAAATAACAGTACATCAAGAAAAAAAGAAGGTCTAACAAGTATTTAAAAGTAGATTGTATGATCTCTAAAAAGCATGGCAACATAAATAATGGAAAAAACCCTAATGTGGTCATATCATACAGGTTTCCCACAGGAATTTGAGAACCATATTCAATGACTTCCCATGACCTATTTTTGCCCTTTCCATGATTTCAATTAGGTACCATTTTAGCATGAGTTGCAGCATCCAAGTGCCATCGTCAGTTCAGACTAGAAGGCTGCCACAGCCACACCTGGCATTTCTAAGTTCTTGCATAAGGGAATGCACTTTGTTGTTATTAGTCACAGTGAGCATATTTTTGTTGTTACGCACTAAGAGCATTTCTGTATACTGATTAACGACCACACCAGATAGTAAGAAGGAACAAAAAGAATTTAAACTGAATGTACTTTTCCTTCTAAGGCCAAACCATTCAAAATCAATCCACTTTACATGAAGATAAACATATTCAAAGTGAACAAACATACCTCCCTATTATCTGCTGTTATTTGGACGACCTCGGGATCAAGATCTATAGGGTCATCCTTTGGCTTCTCTTTTCGTTCCCTGCAACTTGGGCAAGGAGGGGTATCGTCTGACTTTCCATCAGAATTTGAGGAATCACACAAGTTGTGAAGATTCTAGATGATGAGATGGATGAGTAAAACAAAAATCATATTAACATGTAGAGTCAAGCTTCGACCAACCTTAAATTTGTTATGCAAGCTTTCGTCCATTCCTGTGGACTTTCTCAAGCTAAGTGATCAGTCTGAGTCACACATTTGCTTCGCTGCACTGCCTTTACCAGCAAACACATGGAACACCTATGGGCTCACCTATTTCCCCAGTTGTTTGCAACTTATATCTAGAACATCTGGAAGAAGAGATTTTCTCCCATGCCCCCCACCCCCCTAGGATATGGTGGAGGTACGTTGATGACACCTTTGTTATCATTGATCATCCGCATATTGACGAATTTACTAATTATATCAATAGCATCGACCAACACATAAAGTTCGCCGTTAAGGAAGAGGTTCAAAGGTCAATGAACTTCCTGGACACAGGTCTTTGTTAATGACGACCTGTCAGTTTCCATCACCGTGTACAGGAAACCAACCCACACTGATTCTTATTTGAACTTCGAATCAGATCACCCCCTCAGCACAAAGGTTTGAGATGCTAGCTCATTGTATCTGAGAGCTCAAAATGTAACCTCAGACAATGATGCACTACATAGTGAATTCCAACATGTCGACAAGGCGCTTATGTCTTGTGGATACCCAGCATTGATGACACAAAGAGCGGAGGACAGAATAAGAACTAAGACCCCCCCCCCCCCAAAGGAAAAGGAAGAAGTGAACAACAGGTAGTCCTTCCTTTTGTCAACACATATATCCTCTTGCCTGAAACAAGCATTCCATGACAAGGACATCAGTGTTGCCTTCAAAAGCCCTAACACACTAAGAAGTAGGTTGGTCCACCCAAACGACAAAATCCAAAGAGAGGAAAAGACAGGTATTGTGTACAAGATTACATGCACAGACTGTATCAATTCATATGTCGGGGAAACTGGCAGAACTCTAAATGAGCGTCTAAAAGAACATAAAAGAGCCCTCAGATTGAGCAACCCATCCCATTCAGCATTAGCTGAACACGCCCTCAACACAGGACATAACATTGGATGGGACGATGCCCTCATAATAGACTTTGAAAGTAACTTCCAGGCAAGAAAGGTGAAAGAGTCTATATGGATTAAGAGAATTAAGCCATCACTAAACAGGGACTCTGGGTAGCTATTGTCACAGATCTTTGGTCAAGTAATCACAGGACACAAGCCAGTTTCCCCAACATGACAATACAACAAAAAATGGGAGGTTTGTATCTCCTGTACATTGTTTCTGGAAAGCAGCCAAACTTTCCATCAGAGGATTAATGGCTAAATTAGACAAGTTTGTGCATCTCTTTTCTTTCAATAGTTTTTTATCAAAAGGGAAAGGAAATTGGGAAACCATCTCTTTATGGCACCTGGAATGGCAAGGTGTAGTTGTAGCTTCTGATGAACATCAATTTTAGACAGAAGGCCTACATCTGGGAATAATCGTGAAAAGAGTTGTGATTCATATGAAATTTTGAAATCTATTACAAAATCTTCAGTAATTTATGCAAACTTTTTTTAATTATAATTTCATAAACTCACATTTCATTCAGATTAAATATAAATCTTTACAAGACAGGGCCATGTTTTACCTGTAAGTCTTGTAGGAGCATGGACACACTGCTTTGTAGCACTGATGGTTTGACATCAACTTCAGCTAGCATACTCTCATCTATCACCATGGCGATAGATGAAGAGAGTTGTGCCTGTTTTGTAAGATGAATTAAATAATACTTGTTTTCATGAGGATAGTCTAGCACACCATTCTAGGCGTATCAGTAAGCATTTATACAAGGCTATTGTTCATAATGGATACCCCTGTACATGGAGGTGGTGGTTGACTGTTTCATGGAACTTAAATCTTGTAGGGAGGGAGAATATTCAAATTATGCAAGGGAACCCGTTTACTTGCTAGACCTCACTGTCAGACACTTTTGAGTGAATGACTGGCTTTTTTTTCTTTGTTGGTAATAACATTCATAAAATGAGCTGTAAAGGGTACATGAGCATTGGTCTACATCAATAACAGACTTCTTGTAATGGCCAAAATTTAACTGATTGAATCTTTGCGCAGCATAAAACGTACGACCATTCGGTACAATGGTCTGAAAATCAGAATATTACACTTACTGGCTTTATAGCTCTCAAGTCAATTCGACAACTAATAGAGTCTAGTCGTTATTTTCCCACTTGTTAAAGACACTTCCATTAGTATTATCTTTCAAATGCCATTGGAATTTAACCTTTTCATTTTTGTGGCCTGCAAATAGTACAAGGGTGAATCCAGGGATGGAAATTTCATTGCTCTAGAAATTAGGCATCCGTAGAAATAAATTTCATATATCACACCAATCACGAATGTAACCATAGACTCTACTCAAATAAATAGTGCTCAATATAACTGGATTTAAAATGATTTTTAGAACATCAAATAATTAATGGAATGAAAAAAAATAACAATGCAACATTATGTAGGGGCCTATGACTTAACATATATTTTAATTGTGCAAGCAACTCGATAGTGTGTCAAGAAAATTGACAGAAAAAGGCAGAAATATTTTTCTATCTTTGACAAGATTAGTAGTAGTACGAACATTGCAAAAGTGAGCTCGTGAAAAAGCTTGAGGTCTAGCTAGCGATGGTACTATCACCTTTGGGATCAGTACAATCGTGTTGCTCTGCTGCCCTCTGCTGCTAATAATTAATCATGTCTCACGTAGGCTCAGGTCATAAATATTTTACTTGCAAACTGTATTCAATTCTATCACCAGTCTGCACATTAATTCATTTCTATTGCCATCTTTGGTTAAATATTGTAGATGTAGACTAGTCTACTGCTGTTTATCCAACTTCCAAGCCAATTTCTTTCTTTTTTTGAGCAAAAAAGAATTGCATACGATCTCCCTCGAAGTAGACCTAAAGTTAGTTCCCCAAAGTTGACAGCCCTGGATAATTGATGATTTTTTTTTCTTTTCTCGCTAGTTATGGCATGAAAATTGAAATTTACATTCTAACTAAGTTTAGTCTAGGTCCGTTTATTAGTCCAACATTTTCATTTGAGTGATGGAGATTCTCATCATGCTCATTGACGTGATCTCACTGTCACTCTCTCTCTCTCTCTCTCTGCTCAGCTCAGCTCAGTCTCATTTTATTTTTATTTTTGTGTCCATGACCAAAATTGATATTAATTGTTTTTTCTTCTTCTTTTTTCTATAAATCTAATCGACCAACTTACCTTTTCCATGAATTTCTGGAAAGACTCCGCGAATTTTTCAATAAATTCTGCCACTTCCATCATGAGAGGATCTGAGATTGAGTCTGTTGAGATGAAGATCCTAGATTATCACAGTATAATCTATGTACTGTGTACGTGCTAGCCTAGCTAGCCTAGCTAGCTACCCACCCGGCCGTTCGGGGGCGATGCTCGCCAACATCAGCTAGCTGAGCTTGAGTTAGCTCATCGTGCGCGCGCGCTCCAGCTAAGGCTAGCGCTAGCGTGTGTACGTACGTGTCCGTCCGTCAACCAAGCACGCGCGGGGAATTTGAAAATATGCTCATATAATGCAACAACGGAACTGTCGGCGTCAATGAATATATCTACTTTTGCATGAGAAATCCATTTGGAAAAGCCGAAGATGGAGAGAGATCAAGACATGAAGTCCATAGATGAGTGGGAACTGAGTAAAGAGAATGTTTTACCTCTGAAACAGGGTCGAAAAATGACAAATCTCACAGCTGCTCTTCAACCACAAAACTTTGATCGGCAACAGCAGCTTATTTTGCAGAGGCAGTGAGTAAAAATGGTTAAATTACGTGTGTGTGTGCATGTGGTGTGTGTTGTGAATGTGATTCTTTTGCGTGCACGTTCACATTGACTAGACTAGATTAAACTCTATTTTTAGCTACGAGGAAGCAAGGTTACCCAGAAAATAAAACACATAAAACACATCTTTATTGTATTGAGGTATAAACTTGCAACAATTATAGTCGTGCAGGCAATAATAAGTCAATGAGAATGATTTGAATAAACATGATTAACTTTCAGCTTTCGGTAGCGGAGCTCCAGACTAAAGACCAGAGCTTGCATAGGAAAACGATTTCTTCTTCTTCTTCTTCTTCTTCTTCATCATCGTCTTCTTCTTCTTTTCCTTTCTTTTCCGTATCCTCTTATATTCTTTGATAATAAAATACTTAAGGTAAAAGACTTATATTTTTTCCAACTTGGTCAATTTATGTATAATTATAATAATAATATGTTGCCATCTGTTTTTCAAGAAATGTTTTTTAAAAATAGCTCAGTTCATAATTACCCAACAAGACATTCAGATGATTTCCATTTACCTCTCTTGCGGACCCTCTCAGCTCAAAAAACATTTATATATGAGGGTCCAAAGTTTTGGAATTCATTAAGTGGTGAAATAAAAAATGCTCCATCGATTAATACTTTTAAGAAAAAATTGAAGTTGTTTTTATTAAAATCATATACACCTCCTTGAATTATATCTATATGCTGTTATTGCTTTTTGCTTAATATACGATCATTCTCCGTTCACTGACTCAAGATGTAATTTGATATATTATATTGTTCCTTCTCATGCTTATTTCATTTCTAACGTGCACTTCTTTTTCCTTTCTCTTTCCTTATCTTCTTCTCAACCCCACATGCAGCTCATCTTTTAGTATTATTTTCTGTACCCTCGATCTCTCACTTCTTTTTTTCATTGTCTACTCTTTGTATTATGACCGTGTTCTTCTATCTTTGTCGTGGAAAGTATTGTCTTGTCCCTTTCTCGTCTCTGTTGGCATTCCCCTTTTATTTCCCCTATTTTATAGTTCCTTTTGTAGTTACATATTAGATAATTTAATTACTCATTATTCCTAAGTTTCATTTGAGGTGTCCACACTTGTACAAGCATTGCTTTTTAGTGGACCCCTCTGTTTCCAACATGTATTTCTTAAATTTGTTTTAAATGCTCATAATTGATTTGTAATGTTTTGTTGGAAACATGAATAAATTTGAATTTGAATTTGAATTTGAATGAATTTTCCATTGTCACTTTCTACTCCTACTTCCTATATCTTTCCCCCTCTCAGCCTTTTACCACTCTCCCTCTGTAAATCTCTCCCACTCTTAGTTACAGTGTATTTGCAAACGTTACTCCTTACCTTTCAGTTATACTCTCGTTTTTTCCACCACCTGCAATTGTTCCGTTTACCGCTTATTGCTTACTTTAGTCCTTCTTTCACATGATTTCAGTGCTATTTAATGCTATTTAATTCAGATTTCTTACTAAATTATGTTCCCATATGTTGCAATAAGCTATATTTCTCGTATTTATACTGATTTATTTTACAAATTCAATATATCATGTTATGCTATGTTATATATTACATTGTGTTATTAATTTTGTTTGTAAACTTTTGTAATTCGGCTAAACGCCGCGATGAAAGTTTTATTTGAAATAAACCATTTTGAATTGAATTGAATTGAATTGAGTCACCACCCTTGCACGTTAAGAACCCATTGCACTATTCGTATAAGAGAAGGGGGAAACCCCGGTGTAATGGTCCACCTGCACACCCCAATCAGGCCGAGTATACGGCATCTGCAAGAATCTTCAGTATTGAAGGAGGCAGATTATCTTGAAGAAGAAGAAGAAGATAGATGTGACAAACAAATACAGTAGCAAAAACTTCAAGCCTACTATTTTGTACTAACAGGAACTAGACTTCTAGTGCTGTGATCAAACGTTTAACCATCCGGTATCCAACCGCACATGGCCCTATCCGTTTTCAATTTTGACAGCCTGTTTTCCCTTTTTTTTTGTTTTTTTTTGAAAATCAAAAGAAATTACATTATTAACAAATAATATGAAACAAAATCACTGAACTAAAACGGAGACTTAACTGTCGAGCATGCAGGAATAATGACTGGGTTTCACTTTATTTATGAAGAGCTCTAATAAATCAAGTTTTGCTGACATTATAGTCATCATAAGTCAGCCCCGACTGTTGATTGTTGAATTGCAGAGCGACAATCTACACGATAACAATCAATTATACAAGATTGTGGATTGAGAAATTGACTTGCAGAACTAAGTTTCCAGCCTTGAAATACATGCACGATACTTCACTGATGCCATTTAAATCCCAAATCCTGACCTCAGCAATATCGTGATCGATAGCTATTAAACATGAATATTAGATTCATTAGCTTCATAAACAAAGTGAAACCAAGTCATTGTTCCAAAGCATGCCCGACAGTAAGGTCTCTGTTTTTGTTCAGTAATTATGTCTCTAATTATTTAAATTATTTGAATCGTAATTAATTTTGTAGATCTAACATGGTACTGATGGTAGTCCTCTCTTTGCCTCAAGTTACCTACCAAAAATTGGTCAAATAAATTTGAATGTCTTTTCTTTTTATTCTGCAGAGGTTTTGAGACTGAATTGAGAACATATACTGGAGATGATCCCTTAGATTCCTGGATTCGTTACATTCAGTGGACAGAGCAGAACTTTCCCCAGGGCGGGAAGGATTCTCACCTGGGTGTGCTGATGCAGAAGTGTCTTATCCAGTTCAAGAATGATGACCTTTACAAGCAGGATATCCGCTATGTCTCCATCTGGCTCAAAATGGTACTTAAGCTCTTTGGAGAATTTTTGTTTTTTTAAAGGGAGATTAATTGCTCTATGCTGACAGCAAGCAAATTGTTTTTTCTTCGTTAAACATATATACCTGCTTTTGAGAGTTAGAAATATGTTATTAACTTATTATAGACCATAGACAAAAGTAAATATTGCTATATTTTTTAGCCTTGTACACGTAACTAATGTTTTCATAAACATCATTTCTCATTTATTGCCATAACACCATCCACAAACACACATGATTATGGTTTGAAACCTTATTAATATTTTTATGATTAAGCAAGTGAGACAAATAGATGATTCCTTGATACCACATGATTGAAAGAGAACTCGCATGTTTTAGTCTCTCTTTTTGTATTTCTTCATTCATATATTATTTTGTGTTCTGTCCTGTTATGCTAACCAGGCTCAGTATGATAGCGAGAGTCTGGAAATTTTCAAGTTTATGCAAGCCAACCAGACTGGGACCAAGTTGACCTTGTTCTACGAGGCCTGGGCCTGGGAGCTTGAACAGGTCGGGAACACCAAGAGGGCTGATGCCATTTACAAAGAGGGTCTGGCTAACAATGCACAACCCCGGGAAAGGCTAGAAAGGGCTCTAATGTAAGTTGGCATGAGGTAGAAATGATAGAAAGACATCAAAATTAATATTTGTGTTCTGTAAAGGAAGGTTTATTTAGTGATGTTCCTTTATTTTAGTGGCATTAAGTAAGAACAGAGATAACATGTGTATGAATATAAACCTGTGAAATGTTGGAGACGAGATCAAAATGAGCTCTGAGAAGGTGATGATCTCTGGTAATCTGGAGAAGAAAAAAAATCTTTGAAAAATCACCATGACAACTTATCTCATAATTATTAAATCCAAAAAAGAACTCAACCATAGTCCATAAATGTAATTTTTACGTTATGATGATTGAAAAGGTCTAGTGCAGATCAACTTTGGTATATATCTTATGGAGTGATGGTCCAGGTCATAATCAACGGCCATAAGCACATAATGAAAAGTGTAACATAAATGTTCTATGAAGATGTGTTTTTAATGATTAATCTAGTCCTTTTTTTAAAATAAAGTGAAGTACTAGTATTTGATCTGATGGAATGTGTTAATTAATTTCTAACAATCTCTTGAATACCAGTGAGTTTCAGTCCCGTGTTGGTCGAGCTACTGTGCAGCAGATGCAAGAAGGGACGATGAACCCCACTTCTACTGCTTCTGCCGAAGATCAACGAGCCACTCTCGGAGACCTCAGGGCTAGGGGGAAGCACCAAAAAGTAGGAACAAATCGAACAGGAGCTGCAATGCGTTGTAAGTTAAATTTCTCACTATAAATTGTATGTGTGATTTTCTGTTGTCTTATTAAAAGTAGTACCATTTATTTGGTCACAAAAGTCACAAAAGGGACAATGCATCAAAATGGGTCCAAATAGGCAGCAAGCTGAGTTTGAAAGCAAAATTACTGTCATTTTGAATCCCAATTTCTTCAAATAATTTTAAAATGCCCTTAATCCAGACAATTATTATCTCATTAGTGTTAAACTTAAAAGGATACTTTTCAAATTATCTCTTCTATTTCTTAAAGTTGTTTGATTAACAGCACCTCATTATTTCCGCATGCAGCAAGTCGGGGTGGTCTTCCAACTGCCCCAGCCCCACTTCAACAACGATCAAACCAGATCAGCATATTCTGTGATGATGGTGCTCAAGGAGCAGCGGCAGCCCAACCTTCTGGGCAATGGCAGCATCTACCATCTCGCTCCGAGTCTCAGAAGGAGAACACATCATCTGCCGGTCAGTGGGCTGGTCAAAGGGTATGTATAATGGGCTACTGCATGGAACAATGTGTGTTAACATCTCAAAGCATATGAACCAAAACTTTTGTTTTACATAGTCATACATTTATCTAGTCTCCAAATCCATGATTCCTTTTGCGAAACTACATCTTGCCAATAGAAGTACCTATATACTCTGGAAGATAGATATAACTGATATCAAGGTTTCACAGTTAATGTGAAATGATATAAAGTAGTCAAATAAAAATTGGATATTTGCTTGATTTCTGACACGCTAAGATCTGGTATCAAGAAGTGGTGCTTTTAATTCTTTATTTGAAAAGAAAAATGCCAGAGAACATTCTTTTTGAACATTCTTAGTAAGTTTATTTTTAGAGCTTCAATTTTAAAAGAAAATGTGGCTTCTATCGTTTGACTCTTTATTTGATGTTTTTCAAAGATTCATTGCAATTCCAATGACTTATGTGAATTACTTTTTTATTTGACAGCTTCCTCAGAGGAACATGCCAAGAATGACATTTCAAGAGGTTAGCAGCTATTCCAGACCAGACTTTGCTGTCCATGTTGATGAGGATGCAGATCAGATCACGTAAGTAATTAGTTACTTCTTCACTGGAAGTGGCATGGTTTGCGATTTTGCAAGTGTAATTTTTTTTTTTTAAACATTTAGATAGAATGAGTATTACAAATGTGATTTTTGAGATATGAATGCTATACAAGAAGCCATCATTATCATGTGTTCAATTGTTTTCACAGTGCTTCAAAATTTTTGCAATATTACATCAGTGTACATTCTCGACAGATAAGTACATGTATACACCTGTATATATGTTTGAAAATATGACAGATATTCCTCATCCAGCGTATAACATTCTTTATACCGTATATTTTCCTTTTTATCATGACAGAACTCCACGTAAGCCACTGGAGATGGGATTCCAAGTACTGAGTGAGAAGAAGCATTATAAACCAACTAATGCCCTTCATCATATCACACAGGTAGTAATTCATATCCATTTTTTATATAAATTTATTTATTTCAATTTGATATTGTATAACTTCTATGCATTTCCTTATTACTTGTCATTGAAGCTGTATCTTGTGTGGCATGTACTGAACAATTCACTATTTTAGTGAGGAGATAATTTGCTTTACACTACCTTCTATATACAAAATATGTCAATTTATTACTCTCTGAAAATGACAACAGTTGTATGGATTTCTGTAGATGTAAAATTCTTTAATTAGCTGCATAGATGATACCATTATACCACATCATTGAAAGCTATTCATTTGTTGTTATTTGAAGGACAACGTGAAAGACAATACAAGAGTGATGTACTGCAAGCATCTAATCTACGGTGGTGCTAGGGAGATGTCATTTGAAGAGCTGCGTGGTGTTAAGGACAGGACTAAGAGAAAGGAGAGAGATATCCAAGGTAAAGCATCTAACCTGCTACATCATATTGTATCCAATATACAATTTACTTGATAATTCTTCAATATTTCTAAGCATTTGTCATCTGTAACCAATCAACTGTAACAAAGTCTTATGCAGGCATGAAAGACAAGTTAATTAATTTTTTTCCAAAAGCAGACTCCATATTCATCAAATCACATGGTTTATGACTTTTGCATTTCTGTGAATAATGATAGTATGATCTCCTTGGTTCAGTTGATTTCAACAACATCATTTTAATCACAACTTTGTAGAGTATATGTGTGGATATTGGAATATGATTAGACACTTCATCTAATACTTATATTACCAGTAACAACAGTGGACACATGATATCAGTGAATGTTTCTCATATTTGCTCTTTACCACATTTTTCAGCTAAAATGGAAGAAGCTGAAAGGTTGCGAGTAGACATGGTCAGGAAGCATAAAGAACATGATGAAATGTTTGCCAAGATGCAGGAGAAATTAGAGCAACAGAGGTATGCATTAATCTTAGCACAACATTCATATTTTAGTAGATTATGATTCAAATTTCTAAAGGTATTCATTAGTGTAAGATTTTGTCAGTTTTTAAAGACATATCATTTTGTCAAGTGGCTTAAAAACATAATGACATGGTGAGGATGTGGTCTCATATAAGGCTTTGTCATGCTGAAAAGGGCTTTCTGGCTGATAAAAAGGCCATAACATTAGAAAGCGATTTAGCTGCTTTGTATTTAAAAACTTCCTGGATATATTTGCACATTTTTTATCTGTCTGTTGATAGAATACCGGTAGTTAAAAAGCTAATAATATTCAGCAACTCAGCATGTATAACATCTTTTGAATGTTTTAATTGCTGCCTTCTTCCCATATGTAATGTTCTTCATTTATATTTGCAGAATCCAGCAAGAGCAGTATATTGAGTTACTTGTGAAGCAGAAGGTAGAGGCTATGGCTTCTCAGCAAATCCAACCTCCAGTGGTGCAGCCTACCCCTGTTGTACCGCAGCAGCCTGCACAAATGGCACCAGCACATCCTGCACCAGTAGTACCACAGCAGCCTGCACAAGTGGCACCACCACAGACAGCACAAGGGGTACCCTTTGCCCAGTATGCATCAGCTCAACAAGGCTTCCAGACACAGGGATCTTCCAGCCAAGCTACTACTCGCTCTCACACCTCACCCCTGGACAGTATAGCAGACTGTACTGATGTCACCAAGCAGAGGCACAGATCAAACTCGGGAGGGTAACCTAAAACTTTTTTTCAAATATGTACATTTGTTATCATTTGAATGTAGTAGACTTTTATTGATATTCAAATTAAGTTATATGATTTCACATGTGAAGTCTCTGATTGCTCTGATGTGTGGGCATATTATTAAAGCATGGGTGCAATGAAATACATATTGGGCTAACTTTTGGAGATGCGGGCACTACAAAATAATCTGTTTACAGTGCTGTGAATAAAGAAAACTATTCAGATAAATTAAATTTGTTTGCTTTTGTTTAACCCTTCCAGAGATTCAACTATGACCTGTACCAAGCAGCTAATGTTTGATGATCTGACAGGCGCAGCAGGTACGAACATTGTGTTTATACTTGTGTTGAAATTAGTTTCAAGGGTTTCTCTTCTTTGAATTACTCCAAACTGCTCAAAATCCTGGTGTATTACAGTATCATTTGTATGTAAAGCCAAGGCTCTTATAAGGAATGTATGCTCTTCAGGTATTCCCCATTAATTCTGCATAATATGTAGCATGCTCCCATTATGGAGTAACATAACATTTGATTCTAGATCAAAATCGTACGTTCTAAATTGTCATTGATGTTGGAAGTTGTTGAGGTCAGAAATGATGATATACTGATAATGCTGTTGAATCCCAATCATTACCAAATGTTAGTTGGCTCAGTAAATGTAAACTTAATCATATTTGATGTTGTTTTATTAATTCATGTATTCACATTATTTTGGTTTTGTTTTTGTTTAATAGGAAACTTCAATATATTCTGTGACCCAAGTCAGGGTCCTCCTGCCAAACCAGCCCCTCGGTACCCTACTGTAGCTGCTGCAGCTAAGCCACCAATTGCTCCTCTGTCTCAAAGTATGGCAGCTCCAACGCCCTGCAACCCGTCCTCCACCTCAGCTTTCTCGGTCCACTCTGTGGGTGCTCCACCATCAAAGAGCAGCCAGCAAGCAGAGCAAGACACAATCACTCCCAACCAGAGCTTTGCTACCAACACCAGCTCAACCATTCCTCATGGGGCAGGCCTCAATGATGACAAGACACCTCAGTCCTCGATGATGAGCGAGAAGACACCATCCTCTGCGTCTTTCGCATCGTTGAGCCGCTCCAGGAATGGTCGGCTGAGCAACATACGCACCCCTAAAGGTCTGACGGCGCCCTCACCGACCATCAACACCAAGGAAGCTCTTGGAGTGATCAACGCCATGCTCAATTGCTCTTTGAAGAGTAACCAGTTTGACTTGGATGGTGATTTTCAGAATCAGGTGACACATCAGGAGAAGGATTTTGAGATGGACTTTGCAAATGCTGAAAGTAATGGTAAGCCAGTCTTCCCAGCATTTAGAACATCGACTTCATTTATCAATAAAATCTATATAAGGTTATCATTTATGGATAAATTGAATGCAACATGCAAGGCCAATGTCTCAAGAGCCTATGGTGACTTGAATTCATGTAAATCTGCTGATTTTACATTCAATATGCCTATTTTCATAATCCACTATATATTGTGTATCAGCCAAATCTTAAATTTTTACTTGGCTTTCTATTTGATTATCTTTTGTTTCCCATTTTAGATGTAAAGCCAGTGAGCAAGGGTGCAATCTTTGAAGACAGTAGTGCCTTCAAGCGCGTTGGAGGCTTTGGTAGTCAGGGCATCATCCCTAGAAGACAACCTCTTACTCAAAGGACCGATCAACCCACTGAACCACCACGCCAAGGTGTACCCCCATCATCCGCATTCTCCTCTATACCTATCTATCAAGATGACATGAAGCCAGAGATCAAAGAGGCAGGAGCTACAAAGATCACAATATTTGAAGATGAACCAGTGGACAACACCAAAGAGAACTCGTAAGTTGAAATGATGTTTGATTTTTCTCAAGGGTTAATGTGTGGAAATAAGATAGATGTGCTTGTTTTATGAATTCATAGTGGAACCATGCTGTTAAAGGTTTCATGGTGAAACATTTGGTGTTGATATTTTGTATGTATTTCAATGATATTCACTAAATGATTGCAACATGAACATTTTTTTAACTTACTGTAGATCTTCTAAAAAAATTGTGTTAATGTTAAATAAGTCTGCATATGAGAACACTCAAGGTATTATGTAATATCTTTTGTCATTTAATCTGTATACAGTTCGGGTTTCCTTGAATGCTAATGAATAACATGGCTCAAAGGATATGGATATGTGGTCTTTATAGAAACATGATTTGTAAGACATGATTTACTATGGCTGCATATTATATTATATTATATTGATATTATACTTAGATATTTTCTTTTTTATCTTCCAGGCCACCATCTGATTACAGGCAAGTGAAAGAGAAGAGAGAGATGGCAGGTGTTCTAGAATCTTCTAAGAGTGTACCTTTCATGTCACTAGAGGATCAGGAGCAAGAAGATGCAATTGTGAGTTTAGGTTTCCATCGTATCCAGAAATTACATTTTTAAGTGTATATGCACATGTGAATATGAAATACTAGGTTAAAATTTGATGTGCCTTTTGTAACATAATATGAATAATAAATAAAATATAGTGCAGTGAAATAACTTACAGGAATATTTAAGACATACCGTAAATCTCCGTGAATAAGACGCACTTTTTCCCACTGGAAATAAATCTGAAAGTCTGGGGTGCGTCTTATACATGGGTAAAAAAAAAAAAAAAAAAAATTAACGTTTTGATTTATGCCCTCCTCCTGGCACTGTGCCTGGCAAAGTCCTCCAGCTCAGTCATACCCCTCGGAAACTAGAACAACACTACCTGAATGTCCGGATTTCTGTTTGGACTTAGAGGAAAATCTGCGTGTCATCACTAGTTTTAAAAACTAATTATCAGAATAATGAACATTGAAATGTTCATTATTACTAAATGTTCATTATTGTGATAACTTCGTTATTACTAAATGTTCATTATTGTGATAACCTTATTGTTACTATTATTTGTGACAAGTTCACAAGTAAAAATTGGCTCCTCCAACTGCACCTCGCAGTAAAATGAAGGTCCTTTCCTGCGTGGGTTTTTTCAACATGGACCTGGCTTGCTGGCTACGGAGTCAGGCAATTTTTATGCCTCCGCCACCGAAGGTGGTGCCGGAGGCATCATGTTTTCGGGTTGTCCGTCCGTACGTCCGTCCCGTTTGACCGTTATCACAATATCTCAAGAACCATTTAAGATTTAAACTTAAGACTCGGGAATAGTATTTATCACCATAGGAAGACGATCTGATTAGATTTTGGAGTACGTAGGTCAAAGGTCACAGGTCACAGAGGTCAACTTATGAAATTCCTTGTATTGAGTTTGTTAGCGCGATATCTCAAGAACCATTTGAGATTTAAACTTCAAACTTAAGGATAGTATGTATCACCATATCATAATATCTCAAGAACCACTGGAGATTTAAACTTCAAACTTAATGATAGTGTATTACCATAGGAAGACAATCTGATTAGATTTTGGAGCACGTAGGTCAAAGGTCAAGGGTCACAGAGGTCAACTTATGAAATTCCATACATTGAGATTGTTATCATGATATCTCAAGAACCACTGGAGATTTAAACTCCAAACTTGTTTAAATTGCTCTATGGCGGAGGCATCATTTTCGACTGCGCGCAGTCAAAATTCCATCTAGTTTTTTTTTCTTCCCTTTTTTTCCACTTGGCCCAAAAAATAGGGGTGCATCTTATACACAGAGATTTTTGGTAGTTTTGCTCTGACCTTTATATGTAGGGGCAATTTAATAAACTTTGTAAAACAAATGGGTCCTGTCCTTATGTATACTCTAGATAAGACAGATTCTGAAATGTTGAAATTTTCATGAATTTGAGGGGTCAATTTCACCTTGACTCCTGTTCGATTCAATTCAAGTCAAATTTTATTGTCCAATGATTGGAAATTTGTTTCATTTGCATGTCAATACAAGATTACAGATTATATACATCAAAGATACAAATGGATACAGAATGGTACATTTGACTTGAACGTAGATAACACGAAATGCGATATTTCAATGTTGATGACTGTTGAACCTAATTTAAGAGAAGATTAAAAGTGTTGAAATATGGGAAAGTTTGTTTTTCAATCCTTATGAATTCTTTAAATTGAATCAAGACATATCAAGCATACCACTTGCTTCTTTCTAATTCATAACGACAAATGTTTTTGTCTTTTCAGGGAATGGATGCAATGGAAGTGCAGCCCAGCACTGATCCCTCTCAACACCGTGACCTCTCCCATACCATGAACGTAACCCTCCCCCGGACTGGAGCCGGCTCCAACTACTCCTTCGAGGTGGCTGCCCGCATGGCTTCCACGCCCTTCAACGATGCCTCATCCCTCAAGCTGTCTTTCATACCCCCCATGAGTACCATCAAACCCAGAGAGGTGGAGCAGGACAAGGAGGAGGAGATGGTAATGCCCATGCAGCAGGGGACTGTGGCTGCTGATGTGGCATGCTCAAAGAGTGAGGTTGTTGGGGCTTCGGCTTCCAGAGTGATACAAGCATCGGTCAATGAGAGCTTTGAGAAGACCGAGTTCGCAGTTGATCATTCAGCTGGACATCTCAGGTAAGGTCAATGTATTTGTTTTCTTTAAAGTGACTGAGAGTCCGGGAACAGGGATGTTTTCTCCAGCTTTTAAATTATTTGTTGACCTACTAAAAAAAAAAGATCAATTGTTGATGATTATGTAAAACTTTGGAAAATAATATTGATGATGATACAAGTGTACCGTTTTTTTGGAATATGTATAATTACTTGATTTGTTAACACACACTAGTCGTGTTGTAATGCAGTGGTCATGTTTGTACACAAGCATGCAATGTAAAAATGTTATAATTTCTTTGTTTATGCAGCCCTATCATGGAGACAAGTGCAGAGAATGCACGTTCATCAGCCTCCAGCTCTGCCTCCACCACCAACTCACATGCATCAGCTTCCTCACTGGAATGCCACCAGCCATCATACCACAATCAGGAAGACAGAGAGAAGGACATTGCACCCAGTTCTCAAGGTTTCACAATCCACATGGATGAAGAACCTCATGCCCAATATCAACCAAAGACTGGATCTGCAGCTTCAGGCTTCCACATCCACGTTGACAACAACGAGTCCAGTGCTGCCCCTGAGGTTCCCACCAGCTTCCGTGCAAAGGACAACAGCTGCCTGCACAAGGATGATCTCCCAGATTTGGAGATGAGCTTCATCCCAGATAGGACCATCCAGGACGCAGAACAAGTAGAGCAGGACATCACTACCTTTGGAATGGGGGAGGAACCATTGGACTACAGTGACCCTTTCAATGCTGGTCTCCAGAACCTTCTGCTAGCTGGCCTATCCAAACCTCTGTCCATGTACAAAGGGATCTACCAGCACGATCACATGATGCCAGCAATCAAGACGGACCTTGCCGTTAGCTTTGGTACTTTTTATTCACATTATTTTGACAAGGATACTGAAAGCAAATCAGGAAGTTGGATTGTTCATTATGAAAAGCTGACACCCTCACGCTAAGTAAAGTCTGCAACACACATAATTTTTTATTTTACGTGTTTACAATACTGTCCTAGGTATTTATCATTTGTGTTTGATAGATTTGAAACAAATTAAAACAAAGTAAATGAGCGTTCAATTGCTGAGAAGTAGCAAAAATAATCCATTGCATCCGCTGAGAAACACTCTTGAATGTGGACATGCAATTTTACAATTTTCTTTTCACTTGCATTTCCTGCTACCAGGTGATGAGATCCATGTCTACAGTGTGATGGAGAAGGTAGGAGAAGGGGCCTTTGCCACCATCTACCTGGCTGCATGCCTAGATGCACTGGACATGACTGACCTGGATCGTGATTTTCGAAGAGTGGCCCTCAAAGTCCAACACCCTCCATGCCCCTGGGAGATGTACGTCATCAAAGAGCTACATGCTAGGCTTAGTAGACTACCCTCCCAGATCGATGTGGTGAGTTGTAAACCTAAGGTTAAACTCTGAACCAACATTACTGAAGTGATACTCATTATTTACTTCATGGATGAGGTCAATTTTTTTTTCTCAATCGTTTTCCAGGGTGAGTTCCTCATTTTCATATTTATTTAATCATCAATCTACTGAATTTGTATGCTTAGCATTCATATGTAGGATTAGTTTTACTCTGTATTCCATGTTTTTGTACAAGGATTTGTTATTTAGATGATATTAAGATGGTATTGTGAATAATCAAAGGAGAAAATGGGAAGCAGTAACTGCAATTTCATTTCTAGGAGAGCTTAATCACAGAATAATGACTTATAATCTCTTACTCTGCAGCGTCCATCCATTATGACTGCGGAATGCGCACATATCTACCAAGACAAGAGCTGCATGGTGACCGAGTACAAATCCAAAGGCACCCTTCTAGACCTAATCAACAAAGTCAAGGCTGTTAACAAGAAAGACCTATCTGAGGACTGGGTGCTATTCTTCGCAATTGAGATCCTGCAGACAGTAGAGTACATGCATCGATGTAAGATCATCCATGGTGACATCAAGCCTGACAACTTCCTTATCAATACAGAGTAAGTTGTGTTCTTCATATTTCTGTCATTCTAAACTTCTTTGCTTTCTTTCTGTCTGTCTATTCTTCTTGTTTTCTTCATATCTCTCTTTGCCTCTCTGTGTCTTACATTTTGTTTGACTGCATGTCTAGTTGTCTCATTCTCTCATGTAAACACGATTCCTCATCGCTCTCTGTTTTAAAGCTAGAAATGACAATTTTCTGATTGAGTCCCCTTTTGTGGAATCTATTCTTTATGAAGAAGTGTGTATGCGTCTTACAGGTTGATTGAAACTCTCTTCTCTGTCTGAACCCAATGAGGAATGAACTGGCTCCACTTCTTGATACAGCTAAGGATGATGATAGAAATGTGTCACCTCTCCCTCCATAAAAAACAAGGATATGGGGGGGGGGGGGGGGAATTGACACGAAACAACCAAGCTTGTTACTGTTGCTTGTGGGTCTCTGGTAAATAATCTGTTGATTGATTCAAATAACACAAAAATAGCATTCATCTAAATTAGGCAATTGGGGGAGCCCAAGAAGAGGGCCAATATTTTCAACTGCCAAGTTTTCAAAAGCTGTCAGTTGTCAGGAAATGTGTAGAATCAGTCTACTGGTTCCCCAATAATCAAAAAGGCATGCTGAGACAATCACACCCAATTTCTCCTCCCTCCTTTTTGTAGCAACGATGAAAACTTCACCTGCTCTCAGGAACCTAGCAGCCTTGTAAAACTGATCGACTTTGGACGTAGCATCGACATGACTCTTTTCCCTGAGGGTACAGTCTTCACGGCCAAGTGTAAGACCAGTGGATTCAACTGTACAGAGATGCAGTCTGATCAGCCATGGACATACCAGGTTAGTTCAACTGGTGGTGGAGTTGGATCTATGCACAGTGCATATCAACTTGACCAAGGCAGCTTATATGTAGTTGTTTCTTTCAACCCTTATGTAGTTAATGGGTATCCTGTAGAATGTATTTCTTATTACGAATGTGTACATACTCCTTCAAGGCATTTTAGTGGCACTTGCCTCTCTTTACCCATGTGCAGTTTAATATCTATTAGAAGGTTATTCTTTACAATTTTCTCACCTACTGGAGAGTATAATGGCAACTTGGCAAGGCTGATTATATCTGCATGTTTGAATTAATACATTGTTTGATGTGCATTATACCACAACGACTATTATTGCCATGCAGCTCTTTAGTAGCAATTTAGTTGTTTTTCCCTTAATTGCTTTTAAAGGATTGATGTATATAAATAGATAGTTTATTGGTTCAATTGGTTGAACAATATTTCAAGATAACAAATCTAAATAAAATACAAACAAACTTCTGTTGAAGTACTAGAAACATGTAGCTTTCAACAAAAGTAAATTTTCTGTAAGTAGTTTTTCAGAAAAAAATTGTTTACCGGTAATGTAAACATTCCTGAAGCAATTCATAATTTGTCATATTTACAATGTTGTGTTATCATAATTTGTGTTATCATTTCCCAGGTTGACTATTATGGCATTGCTGGCACAGTGCATTGCTTGATGTTTGGAAAGTACATGAAGGTCTTTAGAGAAGGAGGCATCTGGAAAATGACATCCAAAGTCCCAAGGTCAGTCTTTCAAACTTACTCTGTATATATTTGTAGAATTACTTGAACCTGTTACAATATTAATTCTTAGATATTTTTTGAGACTCCCTTTGTTTACCCTACATTTATGATGTGTGACAACTGACGGTAACATTTTCTATGACTAATTTAAGCTGTAATCTATTTTAGTTGTCCCTCAGCCGGGGAGGGGCAAAATCCCCCAGAATTTGAGATTTCATGAATTTCATTCAGGAATATGTGAATCAAGTGAATGGGTTTATGTGTTAAAAGTAAGTGCTCTAAATATCTCTATCTCTATTGATATAATACATACAATTTCTTTTTCAAATATCTATTTCTACACTATCTTTGACATCTCTAATATTAGTGCATCAAGACTTGATCATAGTATTAAAATTATTGTATTTGTTGTTTACAGGTGTGCCAAGGTCGACTGGAAGGGATTCTTCCACACCCTACTCAATGTACCGAGCTGTGACCCCTCTGACCTCCCTCATCTAGGTGACCTGAGGAGACAGCTAGAGAAGCACGTTAACCCTTCCAAGAAAGCAGATATCCATTTCCACATGGATGTTCTTTTGAGCGATTAGGCTTTCAATATACAAGTTGTGTCCCCAAAACACCCTCAGACATGTCATTGACAAACTTGTAGCTGCCTTTTACAAACTCTAAATTGTACTTTGGGCGGGTATTGGCATATACTGGAAACTAATGTGCTGCGGAAGAGGGTGCATTTTCCAGAAGGATTCAGACCCAATATAGATCTTTCATTATTCATGTGTTGGAAAAAGTGAGAAGCAGACTGGTCAATCGTGTTTACTAGGGAAACATTCTAAAGGAACAACACCAAATCAAGTCTCTGTATGTTAATCCTTGGTAGCCTACCACTGCACTGGACCAAACATGCTAGTCTTGTAGATCTATTGTTGAATTTAAGAAGGCAATCCTGACACCGGACCATTTATAATAATAATAATGATAATAATACATTTATAGAGCGCAGAAACTATCCAACATTAAGTATATATTCTACTGCGCTACAAGAGCTCCTGATATGCTGAGACTTACAGTTTATTAAAAAGATGTGCTTTCAGTTTGGACTTAAAGACATTTACAGATGGTGATTTCCTGACTTCAAATGGCAAGTTATTCCAGAGTTTTGGGGCTGCACAAGCAAATGCTCGATCACCTAGTGTTATTTTTGTTTTGATAGATAGGATCTGCAGCAACAAAGTATCTTGGGAACTGCGCAAGTTGCGATTGTGTTGATTAGGTTTAAAATTCAACAGTTCTTTGATATAAGTGGGAGCTTGACCAAGAAGTGCTTTATATACAATCAGCAAGATTTTGAATGTTATTCTCTGGCGTACTGGTAACCAATGTAGATTTCTTAAAATTGGGGTGATCCGTGTGAATTTGGAACAACCACAGATCAGCCTTGCACAGGTGTTTTGAACCCGTTGCAATCTCACTATTTGAGAGTCGGGGATCCCATACAGTAGACCATTACAATAGTCCAACTTATTGGTGATACATGCATGAACAATGTCTTTTTAATGTCCTTATCTAAATATTTACGAAGACGTCTGAGATTATAGATCATGTAGTATGCTGATTTACAAGCATTTGTGATGTGCTCTCTCATATTCAAATTCGAATTGAACTGTACTCCGAGATTTCTTGCACTAACAGATGGTTCTATTACAGAGTCTCCAATTGATACACTGTTTAAGTTGATTTTGGATGTCTGTGTAGGTGTGCCAATGATCATTAATTCAGTTTTACCAGCATTAAGCATGAGCCTATTTTGCAACATCCATCCACTTACATAGTCAACACATGTTTCTAGAAGTGAGACTCATCGCTCTTTAGCATGTTCATTAGGTCTGAATGATACATAAAGCTGTGTGTCATCAGCATAGCAGTGGCATGATATCTCGGGGAAATTTTTTCGAACATTTGAAATGAGATTAGCAGTGTACAGAGTAAATAACAAAGGACCCAGCCGAGAACCTTGTGGAACTCCGAAAGGCACTGGGAAATCATCAGAGATCACATCATCCATTTTGACCTTTTGATATCTATTCGCCAAATACGAACAACCATATCTATGCCGAAACAGGTCTTTAAAGTTTCTGATAAGCAAGAATGATCTATAGTGTCGAATGCACTGCTTAGATCTAATAACAGTAAAAGAGTGACTTTCTGGGAATCCATAGCCATCAATAGATCACTCTTTATTCTTAGCAGTGCTGTTTTAGTACTATGGAATTGTCTGTATGCAGACTGAGTACATGACAAAAGTGAGTTGTCATTGAGGTAATCCATAATTTGCTGGGTAGCAGCACCCTCAACCAACTTCGATATATATTTCAGATTGCTGACAGGTCTTAAGTTCTTAAAATCTGCGTCAAGACCAGGTTTTTTCAATAAAGGTGTGATGAGGGCATTTTTCCATTGCATAGGAAAATGACCAGTCGAGAGAGAAAGATTAATCAATGATGTGAACACAGGAATTAATATGTCGATACATTGTAGAAGAAGTTTCGTGGGCATAGGATCTAAAGAGCATGACTTCTTACTGAGGTTAAGTATAAGTTTTTCAACTTGGTGCTCAGAAAGAGATTTGAAATTGCTCAAAACATCGACATCATGGTATGTTGCTAATGGAGAATAAGTCCTGGGTTCATTCATTGCATCTAATCTTGTTTCAATATTCTTGTGGATTTTCACGACTTTGTCTCAAAAATAATCACCTAGGTCATTCACAAACTTATGTTTATCAGTACTACAAGGTATCGAGGGTTGTTTATTAGACATGTTCAATAGAGACTTGACAACATTGAATAACTTGTTTTGATTGTCCCTATTTTCCATGATCAGATCTCTGTGATATTTTCCACAAGCTTTATTCAAAAGTTGCAATGTTGCATTTCGAACGGACTTATAGTTGTCCCAATTACTATCGGCCCTAGTTTTCAACCAGCGCTTTTCAGCCTTTCTCTTTTTCCTTTTTTCTGTCCTGACACAGTCGGTATACCACGGTACTTGGGGACGTAACACTACCTGTTTAGTAACAACAGGAGCATGTTTCTCTAAGATATCACTAAGCGTAGTATCATACAACAAAGCTAGTTCAGTGAGGATACTAGGTGTGTGCATACATTTATATTTTCGAGTACATTTTTTGTGAGCAAAAAAAAATATTAAAAAAATAAATAAAATAGTGTTTACATTTGTAAGATGCAAGAACAGTATACTATCATATTTGATCAGTGTTATTGTTCAGGAGTAACTGGATATATTACTCTACCATGTTCACGGTATCCACAGATATTACATTCATAATGGTCAGGCATCTGTATTTTGAATAATTATTAACCTACATGAGAACATGATAATCATTATGTTTTATGGGACAACCATTACAAGTACCGGTAGTATTTTTAGACATTATATTTAAGTGTATATATAAAATAGAATCTTCATTTACACATTAAGAGCAATTCCCTGCTATGTGTGTGTCCCATATGTCTTCCTCACCCCCTCCACATATTCATCTGAAACTTAAGAATCTTTTGCCATGACCATTGGATAATGGTCCTGTTTTAGTAAGTTTCACTGCTATTAGTCATAGAAAAATCGAGAGATTTTACATTCATGGATGAAAAATATTGATAAATGTCATACGACCTATGGGACACATTGCACAAAATCACCCATAATCGGCTCATTATGAACAAATACATGGAGGAGATGAAAGTATTATTCATAGGACGTTGTCTTGATACTCGGCAAAAAACATGTCATTTGTACTGCAGCTTTCTAAAAAAAGTTTCATGAACACTGTATATAACTAACTTGTTGATAAATTTTATTCTCAAATTTTTAAATATTGTATGAAAAGATGAGTGTAATCTGCTATTCAAATTTGTGAAATGGCATTTGTATGAACAAATATGTTTATTGAAAGTACCCATATTATTGTATTGAATGGTTGGTGTTGTATGTATATTCCTACAAGCTTATTCTATGATGTACGTATGTAGTTTATGATTAATCCCATACCTATGCGCACCTGATGTTCTATCTGTATTTACTATGGAGCTTTTCTCCTCTTAAAGAATCATATCAGATAAACTGGAACTTGAATGTGTGCCTTGTCGGCATCAGATTATATTCAATACTTTTTTAAGAAATGTAAATTTTTGTCAGTAAAAAAAAAGCGTTAGGAATAAAAGCACGACTTCAGACATATGGGCCCGAATTCACAAAGCAAGGTTTGAGCTCAGACCAAGGTTTGAGCTCAAACCTCCTTTTGTTATTTACAAACCAGGTTTGTAAAAAACGCGTAAAACGCGTCATATGACGTACGAAAACCAAGGTTTGTCGACAAACCTGCTTTGTGAATTCGGGCCATGAAGTTGCAAATCAGTTTTCTGTATCTTCAACTTATACTTTCTTCTATATTTATCAAAATGTGATGTTAAAGTTGACTTTTGAATTTCATATTTAAATACATACCTGTGGCAAGTCATTTTTACTGTACACCACCACCTCATTTGATTACTTTTTCACCATTTGTTCTGTATCAGTAGTCTGTATTTTGCCTTTGTTTTGTTTAGGCAATGCTCTTATTTCAATGGACACTACACCATTACTGTGATTATAGTTTGTTCTTTGAACCATTGTAAATAAAAATGCATACATTTTGTCTGTAAAATATCAATATTCTACATTTCTACTTACGTGTTACATGTGAACTTATTTGAGTTTAGTTGCTGCATTAGAAGATGTATTTTATATGGGACTATGGAACATAAGAGGATGAATAGGCATCAATAGGTTTGCGAGAGTGCAAAAATCGACTTGCGCCAAAGTTGCTTATGTGATGTTTGAATAAAACAATTGGGATTTGGGTATTAATTCGGTCTTTGCAGATCCAAATAACATCCCTAACAAAATAAATCATGCCACACATATCAACAAATATTTGTGCGCGTGTGTGTGTGCGACTTACTTTGCTTCTGCAAAAATCATAATGCAATGCATTTCTTTTGATACATTTAATTTATTCTCTCACTCCGCTAATCCCAACATAATACATACAGTAGGCCTCACTTTGGCGCAATGCCTCCTGTTCATCCAAGCTAAACACATACAACACAAAAATGATACCAAATGATTTGGGATAAAACACTCATAAGATGTATAATAATTTACTGTTCATAGATGATTTTTAAAATAATTAGCAATTTTCTAGGTGTAAACTTTTTTATGACTCGCACGGTATACACACAGTCACACACACACAGACACAAACAAAAAAGGGGGGAAAAATTGATGACACATGTTCAATCTGGTCCATCAGAATAAGGCCTTGTTTTATTGCATCTTCATTCATACAATAATAGTACACCCAACAAACAATATGTACAAACTTATTTATTTACAAACAAAAGACATGAAAAACAAGAGACCTAACATGCAAAACATTCACGAAACATGAACCTTCTTCACAGGCAAACCCTGCAATTAAAAATAACTTGATACAAAATATAGGGCATTGTTATTACATGTAAACATATATATAGTCCCATTCTGTTTTCCTACATATATTCTGTTGTTTTACAATCGGTTTATAAAATCTTAGTTCGCCATGTGACTAAATTTTAAGAGTTCGCCTGTGGTAGAAAACAATGACCCATTAACACACTCTAAAATAACAAGAAAATTTGATTGTGAACATAATGCATACTATCATAGGTACATGTAGATGACTAAAGTACGACCCAGATCATAAAGTAAATAAACTTGATGTCATATGCACACTTTATTATCCCAAAATAAACACACTTTTGGAATGTTCTCAGAAATATGACAAAAGCAATGATAATACTGCAGTTACTCACAGTTACATTTTGCACACAAATAACAACCTTCATAAGAATTATCCACCAATATCAAGTTAACATTCATACCTTACCAAGTATTGTAATTGTTTAATATGTCCCAGTTTATGTTTCCTGATAATGTGATGCATAAAAGCTTACATCTAAATGTATTGAACAAAGGCCCTAATTCAACCAGTCCACCTTTCGTTCTTGAGTTACGAAAAACTAAAAAAACATCAAATTTATGGGGGATATGAATAATTCAGTCAACTGTTGTTGGTACATTGTACAATCCCCTGTTACACACAAAAGTTACAAACTTACATGAACATCTATAGAATCACTAAAAAACAAAGCGATCCATCAATACAAGTTATTCTCAAATCAAGGGCTGAATCATCTTTGCATAAACAATAATTTGTGGAGGAGGTGGGATTTCGCTAATATTTCATAAAAATCATAGAAAATAAGATGACAAGCAGTTACAGTATACTCAAATATGGTCTAACACCAATCTATGTGGTTGAAAATACCATCTTAATATATTCAGCGACAATGTTGCATAGCATTTGATTTTGATCCAAGTTTGAAGGTATGATCATACTCGTACTAACATGTGTTCATATTCTAATAATGACAACCCACACAACCTCAAGTTTTTTTTAATGCAACAAAATATATTCTTAAAGACTCAACCATTTCAGTATTATAGTAAACATACAAATTATGAAAAAGCAAAGACACAAATATATATATTTGTCATTTATTCAAAAAAAGTAATTTCTTGGGATTGGAAAATAAAAACATTTGTATTGATCACTTTTTAAGTGTAAACAGTGTACTTATTAAAAATGTCTTCATTAAAAGTTGGCATATGCCTTGAAAACATCAACCCACATCAACATGATTTCTATTTGATAGACAGCACCTTTTCTGATAGCCTTTAACAAAATATTGAGTAATTCAGTTGCATAAAACTCTATGATGGTACACTGATCAGACATTGTGTTAAACATTAATGCCATTGAAAAGCCTTTTAAATCAAAAGCAACTAAGACACAATCTGATTCTGTATCGTATAGAGCTTAGGTGAATATTTTAGTCACAAAGTAAACAAAAATCTTCAGTTCGCAGTATTTCACTCAAAATTACGAATTGTCTTATCTAACAAAGTCTAATACAAATCTTCAGTTCACAGTATTTTACTCAAAATTACAAAATGTCTTATCTAACAAAGTCTAATACATGAATGCACAAAATGTTGCTGTAGCAAGTATGGAAAGACAGGGATATCCAATTTGACTTACATGATTATAGTATCAAGTACTCAGGGAGGGGGACATTAATATTGGGGACTGGCGCCTTCCTGGGGACTATAAGCTGTACTCCAGAGTTTGGTGGGCGATTTCCCCGCCCTTCTTTGTCGTACTGAATCAGATCTGTATGGGCTCTGCTGGTACTCTGTGAAACCTGTACAAAAATAAAATAACAAAACGGCTGATGTTAAACATGATCACTGGATGTATTTACATGTTCCCGTGGTTGTACAACACATGCTACGGCGACAATTGCGCCAATGCCAATATCCTATACTAACTGAATTCCTAACCTCAGCCTTGGACTACACCCTATAACTAACCCCAGCACTAAGCCCTAAACCTAAACCCCTAGCTCTAATCCTACACACATATCTTTGACGGAATAAAGGCCGGACCAACTGTTGCCAGAGAAAATGTTGGAGCTCCCATTAGTGGATGTATCATCAAGAAGGAAGGTGATTGTCGGATCATTTAAAAAATAATTTCACCATTAGGTTTATTTGTGATAGAAACCTGGTAGATCCACTGACAAGGGATAATCATTTACGTTCGAACTGCTCTATGTAAAACACATTATACTATAGATGGGAGTGTGGACACGTACATGTGCTTATATAATGATACACATTACCTGTCAACTAAATAGAGACCTTTTGAAGACCTGATAAGGAGTTTATTGGAAAGCCATGATTAATATGCAATGTGGCAGAAGATACTTGATGAATATACATGAAAACAAGAATGTAAATGTATCATGAGCATCTGAACCATATATTATGCACATTTGGTCTACCGGTATCTATGAATTCTCTCCGTTTCTTCTCTATCCCAATTATAAGCAAAGGTTTGGTCAACAAGCAGATCGTACAAGGAAATTGATCAGTTTATACATGTACTTGCAAAAATCTAAAAATTAAGACTTGCACATGGTTCATTTATCACTTCTTAAAATTTGATTTGTTAATTTGTGTCTGGTTAACCCGAGATGAAAAGTGTTCAAATCTTACTTCCTCTTTCCTTCTAATTTCATAGTTGCTTTTTTAGCAGCATAAATTTCTATTGCCACAATTCCTATTCACAGGACTTTTTTTACTAGCATTTTTGTTCCTGGCAATTTACTATGAGGGCATCAAATAAAGCATTTGCTAACAACTACATTGCATCACAGTTAGTAAAATAGTATAAGTCCAAATCATCACATAGCAAGATTTTGCTTGGAAAAGTGAGTAAAATGACTTGCAGTTAGAAGGTACAGACAAGGGAATGGGTAAAATGCTCAATACAGGTCTGGTATTTGAATACAGAGTAATTGATACCCTGGGACCCAATGGCGCAAACAAATATTATCATCATATTTACATTAATCTCTTTGATAGCTGAAATATGATTGACACCATCTTTATAGGAAAAAAAAAAGTCATTGACGCCATGGTATTAATATTTGAATATTGATAAATATAAAGCCATAGAAAATGAGGCATACAATATAAAACACGAGAGTAAGGTTATGAACATGATTGAGTACATCAATTCCCACAATACATGTACAGCCTTTTTTCAATCATTAATGCAAGTATCTCTTTCGGCCAGTTAAGTATAATCACATACGTGTCAACAAAATGAAGCATACTGTTAATAGGGAGAAGAGGGTTAATAAACAAACAAACAAACACAGATTTTGTGAAAATGTTTGACATTGCAATCAATGGATGCTTCATATTTTGATAAATGACAAATATGCTGTGGTAATAGCTCATGTAAACTGCACAACATGATTTCTCTGAAGAAAACTCCAAACAACACACAAGAACAACAACAAAACCATGTAAAATCCACAGAGATGTAAAGCCACCTACAGTCATCATGCAAGGTTGAAAAAAACATGAATAGACAAGTAATCAATCCATATCCACATACAGTGGAACCTCAGTATAAAGAGCTCCGATATAACAAGGTATCTGTTATAACATAGTGATTTTGCTGGTCCAAGCTCTTTATATTCTCATGTTTTTTTTTTACCCCGATATACCAAGATTCCTGATACAAGAAAATTTACTTGATCCCCTTTTGTAATTATGGTGCAGTGATTTTGTGATTATTGTTATCAAAATGAATGTAAAAATTATTTGATTAATAAAAGTTTTGAAACATTTTTTTTTTAATATATTTTTTTTAACTTGGTCCCAAAGGACCTTGTTATAACAAGTTTCCATTGTAGTACTTGTGTGAAATGAATCTCCTTTTGTTAATTACTTTTGCTCATACACCCCCCCCCCCCCCCCCCCCCCCCTCACCTCTGCCACCTTTCTTTTCCTCAAACCACTTTTATATGATCAAACATTTTATTTTTTCTGTTTTTAATTCTGTTGCCCGGAAGAGGGACTGAAAATCTATCACTGAGAAGTGACTGAATTCTCATCCAAAGCAACAATATGACCTGTTGAATATACATATGTATTAAGTGTCTATATTTCACCATACATTCAGCATTTTGACATATTTATATCAATATAATAATTAGTGAAGTGAATTTGTAAAGATTATTGAATTATTTTTAGACAGAAAAGCTGCAGCGGAGGTTATTCAATGCTCATTCTAATCAAATCTGCAGCCCTGGAGGGCCTACTTGCATTCCCCTGCTTTACACTTTTATTTTAATTGCATTACAATAAATAGCTGCAGAGAAGAAGGGAAAGTGAGAGAAGTACCTTGATATGTAAGTCTACCAAGAATATTGAAAAATGAAGGAGTACTTTCTATGCTGAGCCATATAACACTAATTTTCATACATACACTATTTGTAATCTATTTTATGAATACAAATTTCACCAAATGGATGCCGTTTTTTAAAACTTTTCTACAATTTCAGGAATTACATCAACCAGAGTATACAGCAGTTTGTATGAGATGACTTTGGAAATGTGGATAAACAAGGGTAAACTTGCATGCAGATTTTTTTTTTTTAAATAGGAATCTAATATGCAGAAAAAAGGGATGCATGAACAAAAGTTGCAAACTTTGATGGACCTTCATGTGAATTATTCTGTGAAGACCCCCACTGTGTCGGTGAAGGCTTGGATCTATCCGTTGGGTGACTTCCCTGAGTTTTTCGGGGCAAATATGGATTAGTATACTCTGAAGATAGAAAAAGATGAGGAGAGAGACATGAGAAAAGAAAATAACGTGTATGAGGGTCAACTGCCTAGAGTGATTTGGCACCTGGCAGGCTTAAAGAAAATCATATTCACAGCCAAATGAGTTAGTCCGAAATAATACCTAATAAGTGACAAAAATAACAAATGTATGAGAGAAAAGTTGAAAGGTGAGGCAAAGTATCTTAACCTGGAATCAATAAAGAATTATATCATTCATAATTCTAATTCATCAATGACCCAAAAGAAAACAAATCTTAATAGTCCAGTTTTCATCACACCAGTCAATGAAACAGCAAGATGTTCAATGTGGCAAGTACTTGCTATTATTTTTCTTCTCTCCACACAGAAAACATCATGTACTCGGTTCCCTTTTTGAAGAATTCTAAAGCTTAATGCAACTAACACTTGCTGTTAAGACTTCAAATGACATTTTCAGAGCCTTTACAAATGTTTTGTACAAATGTTTGTCATTGCACAATGATTCTCTCTGAGAGGAATTACAATATTATGTTATGATTCCCTTAAGAGAGGACATATTTCTCTTACCCGGGGACTGTTCAAAGTATGGCGGTGGAGCCGGTGAGCGATGTAATGGGCTATGAAGGAATGCTCCTGATCCAGAGCTTCCTACGTAGTAGCGAGGAGCTAGGAACACATGGTAGCCTGAAGAATGGGAAGGGGGGAAAACAAATTCAATCCAAAGGGTTATGATTGGCAAGATAACAAAAGTAAAATATTAGAATGGTAAATTATTAGATAATTACAGCTCATATCTTATATGGCAACAGGTAATTTACAATACCCCCCCCAAAAAAAAAAAAAAAAAAAAAAAAAAAACACGAAAATTTCCCTTTTTATCATACTCAATGATAACAATTTTTCTGGACACATTTCATTATTTTTCAATTACTTGCATTTATAAATTTCTCAATGACTATCATGTTCACTTTAATTACAATCATAAATATACCTTTAAAAGGTTTAAAACTGAAACATTGCATAGTATAAGTACACAGACTGCTAATAGAATGCATTTTCATTGCATAATTATTTGTGTTTCATATCAATTTTGACCAGATATTGAGTGCCACTACTATTTGATTTGTCTTCACAATATAGACATGATAGCGGTAAGTATGTCTGGTAAATGCAATGAACTTACATATAAGCACCATTCCTGCTACAGCCAGGATGAAGATCAGAAAGAAGAGCCATGTCTGATAGTGCTGTAGAAACAGGTGAAGCACACTAGACCAACCTGTCACAGGGACTTCTTCTGCAGTTCATAAAAAATAACACAAATGTAAATCAATATGTTGAACAGAATGACAGAAAAATGTCTGTTCCAATGGTATCTTCAAATGGAATATGTGTAAAAAAGAAATTAACACTTAAAGTTGAAATCAAATTATAACAAAAAGAAGGAAAATTCAAGACCTCAAAGATTATAGATGCAAAAGACGACATTTTGAGGCCGGAATCATCTACAAGTTGGTCTACAAATTGGTATTTTAATGAATGTATAGTTCTCACCTGACATGGCAATCGTAAGTTTAACAGGAACAAGACTGATCTTGATAGGAACCACAGTACGCTGCCCTGTGACTGTATTGGACAGTTCCACTGTCGTGTGCAAGATAGCGGGTCCATACTGAACGATGGAAGAGTCCACAAGAGCCACAGGGAACTTCTTGAGGGTTCTACCCATGAAGGTTGGCTTGCCCAGTGCGATGATGTCGGTGTCATTGGTAGAGGCCTGCAAAATATATGAATGTACACAGAAATGCTCAATATCAGTTTCATTTTCCTATCATCACCATGTGGTATAAAGGTTTGTGTAATATGAATTAAATATTTACAGAAAATACTAATTGGAAAAAATTATTATATTGGATTTCATGACATAAATATCAATGTATTTCTTTTCCTCCCATCATCTTGCTTAATAAAGACGGCCATCTATGGTAAAAAGAAAAGTAAATCATGAAGCCATTTTCAATTTCAAGAAAAAATATCCTGAGTTCAATTATTTTGCATACAAGTTCATCATTCTTAAAACGACATCACTGCAAGGGTTAATCACAATGCACAGATGACAGATTATTGACCCTTTAGATATACCTGTAAGTTGTCAATGACTGCTGGTATTCCCTCTACCGAGATATCCTCTCTACGGGTGGCTAGCGTCAGGGTGATCCCAGACTGTGGGACGGAGTAGGCTGGGAGGAACTTGAAGGAGAGTGGCTCCGAGATGACCTGACGTTGATTAGGGATGCTGAGCAGACGAGCGGTCAGTGTTAGGGTCGTATCCATGGTGCTGAGGAAGGTCGGGGTGTGTCTCGTCTTCAACTGACTGATGGAGCAGTAATACAGACCTGATGGAGAACAAAAGCAAATGCGAAGTTAAAGGTAATACAAAGTTTTGGTAAGGGGTCATGAATTTGGTTCAAATGAACATATTGGAAGCATATGCGATCCTACAATATGCAGTGATCGTTGTCGCTGTTGAAATCGAGTCTAAAGTCATGAAATTATTAATAACAAACTCTTTATGTTGTATAGCGCCCTCCCAAGGTCAAGATATTAATTAAGCTATAAAACAATGTTTCTTGACTATATCACAAGTACATATTCTGAAATTGTCAGGTTCGCAGCTACCATTGTACGGCCGTATGCACTATTTGAAATTTATAAAAATTTACCGGGAGCACCGGTAAATTTTTATTTTCAATTTTTCTCGAAAACAGAAGTGTTTTAGGGGCTATTTTTTTTAGTGCTTATTATACATCCACAGGGGCATCCAAATATATCAAAATTGTAAAGAATCATTATCCACCCAATTTTCAAAATTTCCCAAAACTTTGTATTACCTTTAATAATATTTATTTTAAAAATCACAATAAAAGCCTTGGTCAGATATGATGACAAGACACAGTAAATCTCTGCTCTTTTAAAGAAATAATGACAAAAATGAAATATCCATCTCATTTCTGTATCAGAGATCATTATATACACATACTGTAAAACCTTTGTTGAGCACAGTTGCCATTCATTTACAAGTTGAAAACAAAAACAACGAAAGATTTGTTTTCCTACTTCATATCTGAATGAGCCTTACAGGTTTCAAAATGCTTGAGGACCTTACCTTAAATTATCACCCATTTCTTAGTTTTAAAAAGAATTTTTGAAAATTGGTATTGCATGTTACAAGAAGATACAAATAGATATCACATATATCTCTATCATAAGCAGCCACTCATGTGCTTTACCTTGGCTTGCATCATAGCCTGCAGAGACTTGGAAGAGCTCAGATGGGGTTACAGGAGAGTTCCTGTCAGCAAACTGGAGGGTGCATTGGAAGGGCGGAGTCACTGTCTCAAAGATCCAAGCATGCTTCTCAAAGGAACAGTTCTCACCTGGTATCAAAATGGGGTAGTAAAGAGGTAGACACTTTAAATAGAATTCTCAACACTACTGAGAACAGAAGCTTGAACAGAAGTTTGATGGCTCATAAATCTTTAAATGCTTGAAAATACATTTAAAAGTTTTGAGTCTTCTGAAGCTACACATCTATAGCTGTTACTATTTGTGTTTTAAGTTTCATATATCTGTATGGCAAAGACACATAAACAAAATTGAACATTTTACAATGTAAGCATTCTTAAAAACAAACAAAAATCGCCTCTGACCTATAATTTCAACAGATATTCAAAATTTGTTTCTATTCTTCAGAAATTTATACTTGATTTGCTACGTTATATCTCACCTTGGATACTAGAAACACCATTCAGCTTGACAGGAATGCGAATGCTGCCCTCTTTGGCCACAGTTGATAGAGTAGTAACATCATTTCCTTCTAGCGTGATTCTAAGAATAGTGCCAACAGATACCTGGTGGAAACAGACATATTTCAACATATTCTTATTGTTTGAATATCACTTGAGGATACAAATCAAATTTTTTCATGCACCCACAAAATTCTCATTCTACAGCTGCAGGTTTAACATCTTCATAATGTAATTGTTTGTTGTTGTTGGAAGTTGACATGGTGCACTCCAATCTGCAGTATAGATTACTTGCAACACTTCTCAGCTTTGATGATTTATGTTATGAATAAATATGCCAGTTTCTTCTTTGATGACAATAGAACTGGCACCTAAATTTCTAAATATCCATTACATTTCAGACACATGTTCATTTTTTCATTAGTTTATGGTGTCAATCTAAATTCTTCCATAATCTCACTCATACAACAAAAATATTTCTTAAACATAGAGGTCAGATCAAAAGCATCATTTACCTGAGCTGTGGTGGCAAGGTTGGGAGTCAGCTGCTGGGTCAAAGTCACAGCACCAGGGGTCAATGCCATGGCAACACCACTTGACCTATGAACTTTAAGAATGCTGCTTTCAGATGAGCTCCAAGACCCACTTTGACCTAATTGAAAAGAATGACAGTAGTAGTTGTTTCTTTTTCTTTTCAATGTAAGATAGTGCAGTCAAGACAGGAACAACATTTTTAATATGGAATTAATTTTGCTAAAAAAAGGGGAAAAATAAGAAAAGAACTAGAGTAACAAAACACTATATAATTATGACAAATTATGACTAATTAATGACTAACATGCATGCACATTGTATGCAATAGATAATACAAGGCTAATGAGAACAAAATTACACCGCACATTCAGACAATAAATAAATAAATCTGGCATAGGTGACCCAAGCTCACAATGTCCAAGTCATAAAGTCATTGATCTGGCATTGCTCCAATGGTTTTTTTAAATAAAAGAGGCTACATATCTTTATGTATAGAATCACACACGGTAATACCTACCCTCTGATGAAAGTAGAGGTGATCTCAGACATATAATATCACCCACAACCAGGCCTTGGTCGGGCTGTACCACACTGCCTACGGGGATGCCAACGTAATCGTCAATCCAGGGACTCTCACTGTCCCATACCTAAACAGAACAATGATTGAAAAGTGATAATTCACTAGATAGCATCGACGACTACTATTGGGTTTTAAGTTACATGTGAGTAAAGCAATTCAAAGTTATAAATACATATACATAACAGCAAGCTTCTCAGGTTCAAATAAAACAAGATACAGTCAAGAGATGGAATCTTAATGAAAGGTTTGTCATTTAAATGAGTATATATATATATGATTTATTGAAATCAAAACATAAAAAACCAAGAGCAAACAGTCTGAAGACTGACAACTGTATCAATTATATTTCAGCAAAATATATGCAAGGCTAAACTAAAATAGATTTTTGATTAAATTTGCCTCTCAGCTATGTTCCCACGAACAACTGAGAGTACACAATTCATCTACATGCTGAATAGCAGTGACTATTTTGGACAGACAGCTGAGCAAAATGTAAGATGAAAAAGAGGAGGAGTGTTTACCTTGAGAATAGTGATTCCAATGTGTGCTGATCTACCAATCAATGTACTATTATCTGGTCCTGACTGCAACTGAAGACGGTCAAATCTGTGAACCAAAGGCAATCATAGTTTAAGTTAATCTCCTTAAAATTGAAAATCACATATTTATATTTAGGCATGTGATTTATTAATTACATACCTCACACCACTATGTTTTTTTTTTATATAATAAACTTCTATGAAGTCCAACCAATATCCTTGAACTACTTGACTACATTATAGAGCATGATACGAAGTAAGGGGAATAAAAATTTAAAAATAAATAAATAAATGAACACTAATCTAACAGGTCCATGAACAGATGGTAAGTTTCTATTCAAGAAGGGATGAAACACATTCATATCTCTATCACACAGAGTGGCACAGTGGATTTCAGTCTAGTGTACAAATGCGGTCATGGTATCTTGACTATTCCTCATCTACAGAAAGCTCATGGGATACTACAAATCACTAGGTTGATCAGTAGGTCTTACCTGTGTAGCCTGTAGTCCAGTTTCACATTGGTGGCATCAAATCTCTCACCAATGTTGTCATAGAAATGAACGACAAAGGAAGGTGACACGCCGATGGGAAACACTTGCAGACTCTTGTCAAATGTGGTAAGACCGGTGGTGGAATGCACAGCTATGTAGGATACAGGCTTGATCTAAACAGGACAAAGAAGACCAAAGTTAAAAAAGATGATATTCTAATAGGATAATAATGATAACAGAAAAAACAGCAGGAACACAGTCTTGACAATGTGTCAGTGGAGTTAACTTTTACAATTGTCCTTAATGCATTTTTTCAGTAATAATCCAAACTTTTAAGCCCCCAAATTCAAAGACTCATATCTATCTCATTCTTATATCAGATGTTTCATGTGCACATGCCCAATAATATCTTTCTTATTTTCCCCTTGATATCAGGATGGTTTACCCCTAATCAGGATGTAACTTGTTATCATCATGCCCACTAAAATCAGAAGTACTGTATTAAATCTATTCTATTTGCTATCATATTAACTTGATTATTGGAAGCAATAGAAATCAAATGAGCATGAGCACTCACCGAGACATGAACAACTGTCGTCTGGTTCACTCCGAAGCTCTCAAATGCGGTGACCTCTACAGACGCTTGACCTCCCTTGGGCCCAGCTCTGACCAAGCCCATCTGGTTCACGCTCAAGAAGTCATCCCAGGAGGTGGTCAAGATGCGATAGGACATCCTGGCTGACCCATCTCTGAAAGGGACAATAAAAGGTTAATTATCATGAGGATTGATAAAGGTGTGCATAAATAAAAGACACATTTCAATTAATTGCCATGTTGAAAAAACATATAAGAAATACTCCAATGACTGTGGGATACGCTCACATATATTCTACTGAATTCCATCCCGTTATCTATTCAGGTCACCTCACTAGCCCATCACACCAAAAACTTTAAATTTGAGTGGATCAATATTATGTATGAGATGGAAAAAAATAGTATTCCAATCCTGGATTTAAAAAAAAATATTGAGCTGAACAAACAATAAACCATGTAATGGCCGTAGCAAGTAATTTCAAATCCAACATTGAATGTATTCATACAGAACAGCAAAACGTTTCATTGTCAGTTCCCACCTGTTGGTTTTGATTGGTGCCTGTGTATTAGGTGTCATTAGAAGTCTGCTGTGACATGGACAGTTAGGCTGCATCAGCTCTAGTCTCTCAAATACCTACATGGAAAATGGAAAGAACATGCAATCATGCCAATGTATTCAGGTAGTGAGCAATGCGGTTTGGTTAAATAGGTCTACAGTCAAACCTGTCTTAGTGGCCACCTCTCTATAAAGACCATCTGTCTAGTGTCTATAGTGACCATATATAATATTTCCCTGGAGAAAGAAATACGTGTTGTAGAATATGTCTAGAAATGCCAACTGTCTACAATGACCATTCTCAGTTTCCCTTGGGTGGCCTAAATAGGTACCGTGAATCTCCGTGTATAAGGCGCACCCCTATTTTTGAGATTTTAAAAAAAAAAAAAAAAAAAAAAAAAAAATTGTTTTCCTTTTGGGTTTGCCTTTTTGCCAACACCAACTGAATCGTCTCTTATTTCAGCCTGCGGTCCCGTTTGGAAACCAAAGCCATGATGCAGGGAATTGGGAAGGACTTTTTATTTATTACGTCTTTACAGTCAAAAAGTAAAAGTAAAAAAGAATAGTTACAATGTTGTTTTTAAAATTAAAGATGACAGAAAAATTTTCCTCCCGAGTCCAAACCGAAATTTAGACAGGCTAGTTTTCTAGTAGTGATTCGATATCCCCGTGTGAGTGAGCTGGAGACACGGGAGAGCTTCGGCCGGCAAAGTGCTTTGTGAAGGGGCATAGTTTATCGAGACTGAAAAAAAAAAAACCAAAAAAACTCTCTTCCCTTCAAATTAGGAACGTAGTTTAACTTTAAATAGTAGATCCTATTCTTTATTTGCATTATGTAATTCATGTTTTTTTCGGAAACCATTTAAAAGTAGCATTTTGAGAACTCAAAATATCCTGTACCTGTGTATTAGGCGCACCCCCGACTTTCGATTTTTCCCCCGACGGAAAAAAAGTGCGCCTTATACACGGAGATTTACGGTCGGCTTTTCTTTATTTATGTCCAATATATCAGTATTTAAAATAAATCGTCTGGGAGTCAGAATTTTATCCTTGAAGATTTGTTTACATCAATTCCCCAAACTGATGGCCCAAGAAGAGGCTAGTGTCCCCTTGGATTTAAAGCCCTCATAAAGTATCTAGTTCTACTCTGGATCAACTGACCTGGATCTGTATTTCATCCATGAGAGTCTGATCCCTGTAGATCTGTCTACGTCCTGGTTGAAGCAGGGATACCTGTAGTCTCAGAGAGGCTTCACCGGGATTCAGGGTTCTCACTCGCATGGCAATGTTGTGCTCTGCTCCACTGTAGATACCATCCTGTACACCAGAAATAATGAAGTTTAATGTCTACAAAATTCTTAGCTATTACAGGTAAATATTAAAGGAAACATCTTTAAAAGATCAAATTTATCCAGAACACACGGTGAACAATACTGTTGGTGAGCAAGGAGAACAATAATGATTGTAGTCTATGAAATTCATTTTACACCAAACAAAATGGATCTTTGATATGAAAAACATGAGGCTGTTGAGGCTCTACATACAACGTGGGTGTTCTGGATTTGTGCTTTATTCAGCTGAATTTAATAAATCATGGCCTTGTGGCTGTGTACCCCAACAAGGCATATCTTAACAGCTCTTTCATCTGATAGATAAAATGTGTACTGAAGGCAGCTTTGAATGCTGTTAGCTCTGTAACCTCAAGTCAAAGTACTCCAGGGCCCCGACTTATAAAGAGTTGCGATTGATCCAAATCAATCATAAGTCCTCTAATCAATCGGAAGGTTTCAATCCCCCATCTCTTATGTACATAGTTACGATTGATATCAATCGCAGATAAGTTGCGATCACTCGCAACTCTTCATAAGATTGGGCCCTGGAGCACCTTTAGCGCCACTGAAAGGTTGAAACAAGCCCTTTACAAAAACCAAACACAATCATCAGAAAGAACAACATAGATACAAAGAGATGGTGTACACAAAATTACTCACCTCAGCAAACACAGGTTCCACCTCTATAACATCATCGTTGCTCACACTCCACTCAAACTGAAGGCCATCGATGGCATCACCAAACGTGAACGGAGTCTCTGATTCCCCTAGTCCCATGGCATACACAGGCATGATGGTGTCTGACTCCAGGCGATGGAGAGGAGCATGGATTCGTATACCGTTCAGCTCGATCACGTAGACATCAATGATATCCTTTACAGAGAGAAATTAAACCAGAAGGTGAATCAGTAATCAAATCTTGATTGCCAGTTATTTAGTTTCATATATCTTGTTCTAAATAAATCAATGTCTTATGCAGAAATACATAACAATACAAAAGGAAACTACCCTTTTGGAATACATGAATCAAGATCTCATGTAAACTGACAGTAAAATAGTGACCAACTAACCAACTTTTTACAATTAATTGAGAACATGTTTTTTTAATGCAATGTCAAGTTGTTTTATATAGTTGCATATAGCTACACCTCGTCCTGATCTTGGAAACTTTAAATGTTATCACATTTAATAACAAATGAGAAGTTTGCATGCAAAACATTCACTTGAAATGCAACTTTCCAGGGATCACTTACCTCTGAATAAACCACATTAGAGCCTGCCTCCTGGTCATATCCCACTGCTCTGCCTGTAACCCTGGTATGACCAAGGTTCAAGGCATGCAAGATACCGCTGCTGTTGATCTTAGCAATGTTAGAGCTCTGTACCACGTACTCGATCTGGCTCTGGGGCTGTGGTCCTCCAGTACTTCTTACCTATAGAACGAAATAAAGGAATTTAAAAATGCTGTTATAGCTTAAGTGGTTAACATGATAGCAATGATGCTTCCTTATATTGAATCTCTACAGTGTTTCTTAAAGCAAAGGTAGATGATTGAGATACAAAAAAAATATTTTAAAAATGAATGAAAGACATTACATCATTGCCCAAGGTTGTGTTTAACATTAATTAGATGACATGGATGTAAAATGGAAACAAATAATCAAAATGCAGATAAGATAGGAAATTCTACTTAACTTTGTGATGTTTTTTTGTGCATTCACAAAATTTTACTGAATATCAAGTATAAAATATCAAAATAAAAACCCATTTCCATACAAATCACACTCTATTCAAATGGAACAATATTTCTATTTCATGATGATTTTATAGTTCGGGATGCACTTACTTGGAACAATGACGTGACAATGAGTGTGATGTTTCTGGGTGTCAACTTGAGAGGGGGAAACACCTAAAAAAAAAAGGAAACAATAGGTAACAATTATCATTCCAGAGTGACTTCATTAGCAACTATATGAGCGAAGGAGAGAACATAGGATAACATGGAAGTTTTATAAGGTGTACTTTCTCATGTTAAAAGTATAGCTGACATTCTCTAGAATCGGACAGGCTATGAGTCCGTAATGTTTACAACCAAGCATTGGTATTGTGTAAAAACAAGTCAGTAATGTTTCTTCAGAATGTAAATTTGGTACTAAAGTTTAATACTATAAAAACCCTGTAAAATGAAAATGAAAATAAAAGCTTATGTCTAACCTGAATATCTCTGAGTTTGCTTGATACGGTATGACCACTCTTTGACATGGCTGTGAAGGCAAGGGTAGTGAAACCAATACTAGCTCCATGTACTGTGTAGTATGCTGTGTGTGGATCCCTACCAGAGCTCTCCATGTCAGGTCTGTAAGAAAGAGATAAAACAATTAAAAAAACAAGAAAATCTTTTAAGTATATGTATGTCCTCAAATAAAAGGGTAAATTGACCATCCACTCTTTTTAAAGACAACTTTTGCTGACTGTCTTCAGAACATATCACCAAGCATGCAATGCGTCTTGTCTTTATCATCACTAGCTCATGTTTGCCTGAAAATATGTTACAATTGTTTTATTTTTTCAATGGCGCTAATTAATTGCCTTAACATTTCATTACAAATTTAACCTCTGAAACTGTTGTCAATCAAAATAACCACTGTGTTTTCATATTTAATACATTTGACTAAAATGATGATTTTAACCACCGGGGGTAATTGAAATTATTTTCTCACAATTGCATTATAAGGACCAATTCTGAGGACAGAGCAGTGCAACTGTTCAATACCATTAGTTGTAGTAGCAGTAACTTTACAAAGTACAGAAACCAACTTACCTCAGTGTGACAATGTTGGACCCTGGCACAGGTTCAAGCTTCATTAGAGGAAAGTACGACACAGAAAGTGGCTGTTCAGTGGAGTCTAGTACCTGGACTGCAGCGCGGATCTCATGATCAACTTGTACCTGGCAAAGAAACAAAATTCATGACATTTTTCAAATTTGATCGATTTCACACATTGCAAAATACATCTTTATGTACGAGTGTACAATCTCTTCTCTCTCCATCTCTGTATCCCTGCAAGGCTCGGACTTCTCTCCTTCATCTTCCTCTTTCTCTCTCTCTCTTTCTCTCTCTCTCTTTTGTTGCAGTGGAACATTATTTCTCTTCTCTTCCTCGTAAACAAAAACAATTTTGCAACAAATCTTTTGAACAATTGGATCCCATTTCAAAACATAAAATCTCACTTTTTAGCTATTGTAGTTGATAAGAGTTTTGCACTTGGAGGTCTTCTTTGGTAAAGTGAGAATTTTTGCCTCAATCACCAGTCTGATTATGCTTCATACTACATAGAAATGTCCATCATGGTTACCTTGTCAACAACCTTGAGGTCAATGGTATGCACACCAGCCATGTGTATCTGTGCTGTAGCATGCTGGTTAGTGGCAATGCAAAGGTCATAGGCAGTGATGACCAGGTTGCCATCTCGTAGGGGGGTAACCTGAGTAGAATAAAAACAAGTAGAGACAAAACAATTATACGATGTGAATAATATTCAGCAAATGAATATATTAATGAGTACAAATGATATGAAGAAGAGATAAAAAAGGTGAAATAAAGATAGAGATATTCATAAAGGTACAAAGAGAAAGAAGATACCTATATAAACAGCAGCTAACTTTTTTTTTTATTCCAATATGGACCAAGTACTAAAATCATGTTCTAAGGTTAAATCTTGGATAATTTCATGTCTCCACCATTATCACACTCAGCTTTGACAGGTCTTGCCTGACCCTTTTAATCATTTCAAAAAAATTCAATTTTAATTTAAGAATTCTGTTAAGTTTATGACAGTATACATTTTTTTTTAAATCACAATGAAGTGTGTCTCAGTCATTGAAACCTTGATAAATTGATCATAAATAATTTAAGTCTTCTACTTCATAAATCATAAATCATCAGTGATCTCCAAATACACTAAAGGCTTTTATGAAACGACTGGCAACAAAACAACCCAAGACAACCCATATAAAGCTGTCCTATTCTTGGGTGGCGTAACCAAGTATTTCTTACCTCGATCTGTTTTTTCTTCTCATCATATCTCAACTCCGCCAGCCCAGCGATGTTAGGACGGATCTGAAAGTGACCAGAACCTCCTTGGAGATTCAATGATGCCTGAAAAAACAAATGAGACAGTATTAATGGATAAGTACGGAAGAGGTTATCACATCTTTTTTTTAATTGATTTTTGATATCATCATTATTATTACTATTGAGTTGAGAGAAAACCAATTTAACAATTTAACAATTACATAAACAATGTCAATGTTCTACTTTCTACATATAAGTGTGAAAAATTGAGAGAAATCTTGAACAAGAATATGTTTACATGGTTCACAAAGAAGAAACAAGAGGGAAATGCAAGAGACACTAGCCCTCTCAACTTCTGACTTACTATTATTGTCTTATGTATTTCTTCTTGTATTATGTACATGTACAATGACTGTAAAACCAGTGGGAAAAAAAAATTCCTGAAAGGGACGATAGATTTCAATTCAATTAAATTCAATGTCAATATTCCAATTTTCTACATACAAGCATGACAAAATGAGAGAAATCTTGGACAAGAGTATGTATACATGGTTCACAAAGGAGTAGGACATGAGAGAAATGGAAGAGGCACAAGCCCTCTCAACTTTTGACTTACTTGATTTGAAGGATGATTGAAGAGAGATAGTCTGTTTGGATCTATGCTGGCTTCCATTACCAAACCCAACTCAAGAGATGCACTCACACCAGGTACTTGACTCTGTCAAAATAATAAATTCTTCATATTCATTACCAAAATATATTACTTTCACTACAATCAATTCTACAAATCAAAATGTAGTAACTTTTAGTATTTCACCCTTAATAATAATAATGAATTACATTTATAAAGCGCTTAATACGATGTTTCTAAGCGCTTAACATAACAAGGTACCCTTGTAAGTCTAAACTTTTTTTCAAAAGCATATAATATCTGAATGTCAACACAATTTGTGTTATCCTCTGGTCTATCATAATTATTGTTTCTTCTTTATTATTTTCTTAATTTCATAATGCGCCTCAGATAGTTTTACTAGATACTTAGGCCTATTAAGTTAGAGAAAAAACAACAATTTAACAAACATGATATTGGACTAATAAAATGGTGATCCAAGATCTGCCTCAGGATATATTTCATCAAATATATGAGATTAGGGTTTAGTTTAACATCTGGCTTTATGTTAAGTAAAGGGTAAGTTTAGGGAAGGGGTCTGGTTCTGTGTTTGTCCATGGATGAATCCAGAAATTCAGTATGTGTTAAATAAAAATAAAAAAGCAGACATCAAAGAATGTACAAACGAAAGGACATCTACAGGATGAACCAATTTAAAAAAAGACAAAATCACATTGATTACTTAAAATACTTACCGGAATAGCAACAGAGTGCTTTCTAAAGAGCCCAGTATCATAGGCAGTGGTGGTTGCTGTCAGTGTCACAGAACCCTGTTGATGTTTCAACGTTGTAACCTCAAAGGCTATTGATTGGAGGAGAAAAATCAAAATTTATATCTAAAGCTAGGAAGAAGGTATCAAATGGCACCGTCCAAGGCATTTTCAAGTTGAACCAAAGGCAGCCACTGTTTAGGACAAGTGCTTTGATGTAGTTCAATTCTATCTACTTCATAATTAGGTTTGAGATAACAAGGATACATCATAAACTATATTGAAGATGAAAATTATAGAACAAGTGTAGATGGTACATACTGCCCAAATACTTCACCTTTGTTATTAAAAACATAACCAATTACAACAAATCCCAACACTGATCTCTTTCACTTAAACACTGGGCCTTAATTATAATCAAACAATAAAAAGCTTGGCTTTATTATTGGTGACATCACTTTATAGTCAGTATGTATAGACTCGATAGTTTCTCACCTTTGAGTGATTTAGATCCCGGGAAGCTACCATCCTCATCACTGTATGATGTCTGTGGCTTGTAGTAAGAGGCTAGGTTATGATCAGTGCTGGTCCATGACACAACTAACGAAGAGAAGTTATGAAAGAGACGTCCATGGCTGTCTACAGCATTCACTAAGATCTCCACATCCTGTCCATTCATAACAGGAATCTAATGAAAGAATAAAGAGTGTTCCGACTTCTAACACATGTTTTTTGTTTTCACTTGGCTGTTTTACTGTCCACATATTACTACATATATTGTGTTCAGACTGCACAAACTTTGTTCCAAATCTTAAAAAAATTCTCGATGAATGCTGTAACACAAATAATTTGCATATTACTACAACCATTTCTACAAAACATCATTTTCATCCACTTTTAATTCACCAACTTCTTTAGCCACTGTAACTATGTAAGACTTCAAATATATGCAATTTATATATCTCATATTTTCCACAACATGCACAGGTTCCAGTTCATAAATGGCTATGAGGATAAAAAAACTTCTCAGAGTGAATATAAAAGCCTAGTGTTGTAAAAGCAATCAAACCAGAGAGAAAGTCATCACATATCATGTATAGAAATAACATCCTCGCCCTGACATGCAATGCTATTGATTCGGAAGGTCTTACCCGATTGTTTGAATCCAGTGCGATGGGACAGGGTACCTCTAGATCTGGCTGCTGTACCACTGGTATCAACTGAAGGCTAACAGGCTGAGTACATAAATATCTAAACAAAGAGAAGGTAATAGTGGTAGGTACCAGTTGAATATAATAGGATGTTCAATTTACATGGAAATACATATTCTTTGTTGTATTCAACTTTGAACTACTCAGCGTTTTCCATATTTTGGGGTCTTCTATTAGTTGGTTGCCAGCGGTCGATAATTTGGTAATTATGCATATAGATACAGTTCACGCATATTTGCAAATACACTATAGTAATAGTTCAACAACCATGATACTGGTACTCAAGATCTCCTGACATAAGAGTATCATCTAATCTTAACATGCTCAAGAATGAAAATACATGAGTTCATTTTTTGTCTGCAAATGGTATACAATAGTCCACAAATAATACATTCAACAGAAATTACAGGAAATGAATGCTACATAGCATTGATGACTGATATTTTAGTCTTCTGATATTCACTCGAGTATACTTGGTCAAATCTGAAGTGTTATTCACCAACAACATCACTGCAAAGATATTAAACTGTTAATCCCTTTCCTATTAGGTCTTACCTGACAGTAGCCGAGGACCTAGCAGGGAACTTGTTGCGCGCAGTAGGATCATTACCAACATTGACGGTCAAAGTCTGCTCTCCAAGATGACGGCACAATACTTGGAAGACATGGTAGTTCTCTGCAAAAAGATATAATAAATATAATTTCCAGTGAAAAACATATAAGTATGCAAAATTCAGGGACATTTGTTACTTTATTTTTAGATAAAAAGAAAGTAGAAGTTATACAGTAGGCTTGGGGATGCACCATGTGAGAGAGAGGGAGGATTGAGGAGTCCTGAAAAGTAAAAGTTATAAATTAAAATTAAAAAATAAATAAAGCTATAAGCAGTGAAAAAATACACGCAAGCGGTTAGCGACTTGGCTCTCGAACGCTACAAAACAGCTCTGGTAATAACAGAATAATACTTAAATATAATGGTGAGAAAATCACACTACAACCATGCTAAATCCCGCTAGCAGAAAAGTATTTTTTACACTGGCTATAAGTCTATTCATAACTACTAACAATATGAAGCCTGCACAGGCCTGAAATACAGAGGTAATATGGACTGAAATCAGGCAAGAACGTTAAGACTGGCATTCCTCTAGTGAAAAAATTACATCAGATTTCAGTAACGAATTGGACAGAAAGGGTATTCATGAAGTCTGCTTTGAGTCAGAAGGGTAATATATATATCATCTTTTAATACACAGTGAATCCCCTTCTGGCTCTCAACACACAAACTCATCCGTGATTAAGTTTACTTACTTGTTGCGCCATAACCTCTGACATGGTTGGATTTGACCCAGTCCTGTTCCTCTGCCTCCAGGTTCTGGTAGTAACGTGACGGGTCCAGGACCCAAGGCTGGGGTCCTCCTGTCAGGACCAGAGTCTTAGATGAAGCTAGGGCAACAATGGCAATGCTGTCTGGATCAAGGGGCTGGAATACGGAACAATCATCAGAATATTCAAATTTGATTAAAAATAAAGAACAACTTGATTTTCTGAACTTTTCCTATTCATTAGCATATTCAAAGGAGAAAATAAAATATAAGAATTGTATGTTGACTAGGAGGTGTCACATGCTTTTACTACCAATACAATAGGATTAAAAGAATGCATTGCTCATTCTTCATGCGATTCTTGTAATCACTGCTATTTGGTAACATGAAATATGTATTGTTAGTTTTTTAATAGAGTGCCTGACTTCAGTTTCATACTGTTCCATGTGTTCAATAAAAAACTTTGTGCTCAAGAGAATCGGTTAATTAAATTCTCTGGTCAAAATATGGGTTCTAGAGCAAGCTAATCAACATACGAGTATAAAAATAAGAGGCAGAAAATAATTCAAACAGGTCCAGTAATTAAACTACAATTTCTCAAGATGTGCCTACCTGTAGGGGTGCAAAGGCAGCGATGGTGACAGATGCCTGCAGCTTGACACCGCCTTGTTTAAGGATCACGCTAACTTGGGTGTGACCTACTGACATAGCTTTCACATGGAGAGTGGTACAGGAGTCAGCTACTACCTCAAACTTCTCACCAGCTGTCAATGGAAAATGGTTAAGGGAAAGGAAATGTGATTTTCTTTTTTATTTTTTATTTTTTTTATTTAAAAAAAACACAATATATCTATAAAAGTATATAAAGTGCAGCACCCAAAGGATGGGGAAAAAAACATTAATCTGAATCTGTACAGAAACACATACTGTATCGAAAAGAATAATTATCACCAACTTGCAAGAATTGAAGGGAATTTCAGTACTTTCTCTAAAAAGAGACCCCTGCAAAAGTCATTCATATCAAATAAACATCATGGGCACATAACTTTGTCCACAAAAAGAAATATTACATTAAAAATTATTTTATTCCCATGTGAACTTTGAAAAACTTGAAAAAGCATGTGTATAAATCAACAATCTTACGTTCGGTTTTCTGGAAGATGCTTTGATCAGCAACGTCGGTACTGAGAGGAAGAGACCCACAGTGAGTCAACATCACCCTTTCTTTTCCTACAAGATAAAAAAAATAAAAAACATAAATGGATGAACAGATAGCTAACCCAAACCATCAATGAAGTATAAAATCAACTTTTACTTTCCTTTCTCTCTCTCTTATTTTTTGTTTTTATTGGGGGAGGGGGGGGGGGGGGGGGGAGGGGAAGAATACTATGTTCACTAATTATATTGGGACAGTTTATTCAACTTCGTGTACAAATTTAAGCACAGCAAGAACATGATGACAAAGATTTAACATAATGATAACTACCAGAGAAGCGGCAAAACGATGATTGCTAAATCTAAACCTTTTAAAGCCCCACTGCACTAGTTTGGCCAGGAGGGATTAGACCTCCCAGCATGGCCACTGACAGGCGGTTATCTCATCAAATAAGCTCTCAAGTAATATAAGAAAAAGAGGGTCATGGGGGACCAATGGTCACCGATTAAGCATTTTTTGCTCCAAAGAGGGCGCAAGTAGCTACAAGTAGTGCAGTGGGACTTTTAAAAATATTGAAAAAGTAATATATTCAAGGATAACAATATTAAACAGCATAGCACATAACAAAGGCGTTTTTTCCAGGATAGACATAAAATGCTGGCAAGCTCTACTCACCAGCTTCATAGTACGCTTCCATTGCCAGTGGCAAGTGAAGAATGGAACCTACTTCTGCCTCAACACGAGAATCAAGAAAGATCATCTTGGTGGGCGGCAACAGATAAACCTGCAAATTGCACACAGAAAAAGACAGACATTCATAGAAGGAATGGGCATTATAGAAGAAGAAAAAAGGAACCTAAAATAGAGGAAGAGCTGTGAGTTTGAAGACGGAATAGCTCTGATGGAAGTCAAAGGGGAAAGCACAAAAATGAATGAGAAAATACCCTAATATTTACTATAAATCTCCATGCTTGTTTATCGTTAATATGTTAGAAAAATGTGCACATTTCCTTTTTATTTTCTTAAAGATAAAATAGAGGAAAAGAAGTAATTTTTATGATAACTCATATACATTATTTATTCTTCTTTTCAAAGAGATTTATTTTTCTATCTTGTTTTCAATTACAAGATTCAGCATGTGATCTTTATTTACTGGGTGCAAGCCGAACAAGTTGTTGACAACAATTGAAAATTCTCCCAGGAAACCTAAAATTTAAGACTCAAAGTGAGTTGGTGATTCTTACCCTGCTCCGGCCAAAGTGTGCTAGATTACGGTTGTCTGCAGCTGTGACGTTGGTCATTCCTGTGGTGTCTCCTGTCGTAACAAGTCCATGGACGTTGACGGTTCCTGTAACACGTTGGGATGATGACCAAACATAGCTTCCAGTACCACCAGTTGCCTAAAAGATTAAGAGTCAAAATCAAGTATGTCATTAACATTAATGTTAGTGCTTTTGAACGTAATTTCTTCTTTAAGGAGCTTCTCAAAATGATTTACAATTCATTATATTGCTTTAAGGCAATTCATGGTCAGACCCCAGGATATGTGTCATCTTTAATCGTGCGGCGTCATCTTCGCCCTGGACTTCGCTCATCTGGCCTTACTCTCCAGATGCCCATTACTCATGTCAAGGGATATGGAGACCGGGCATTTTCCTCTATTACTCCTTGCCTTTGAAATTCCCTCCCATCATCTATTAGCGAAATTGTCAACGTTGACCACTACAAAGCTTCACTCAAAACTCACGTCTTCATTCAGACATTTAAATGCTAACTTTATTGGAGGAGCTAGTGCATTTGAATGTTTTTTTATGGCGCCATACAAATGCTGTGAATCATCATGATGCAAATTTGGAGATCAATAGTGTCTGTCATCTAAGGTTAAATATCACTTCACCCTACATGTCATGATGGTCACACATCTGCTCTCAAATAGAAGACGTGTTAATGTGACAATGCTCTGCCTTGAAGTCAGGTTAGAGTACAGATTCCATGTAAGGCACTTCTGTAGAAAATTTGCTTTACAGCTCACGAACTAAACCAATATTTCACTATAGACAAAAAAATAATACAGAGTTAATGATATTCATAGCTGACTCACCTTGAGAGGATATTGGTAGCCTGGTTGACCAGGTTGGTAAGCAAAGGCAATGTATTCTGGTCTGACGAGGATAGGGTCAAAGATTTCAGCCTCCTGGGACTCCTTGATGGGGACCTCAAACTCTGCTCGTTCACCATCCTAAAAACAAAAGAATAGCATTCAACACATATTCTGGATTTCTCTTATTAACAACTATATTTTATCAATTATCATAGAAGGACAAATAAATCTGTAATCCCATGTTAAACTTCTAAACATTGAAAATTGCCTGTATGCTTAAAAATATTGATTACGTTTTTTCTTGGAGCTCCCTGGATTCAGAGCAATCCGGAGACTTAAAGTGTGCATGATTATTTAGTTTGACAATATTGTCAAAAGGTACGAAGGAATAAAGGGATGCATCAAATCCATTTTTCAATTATTATGTTTGCTTTCATGCTTCCTTTGGAGTTCATTGCAATTTAAATCAACCTGGGCCCCGTTTTATAAAACTTGTTATCAATAACAAATTTGCCGTCGGTCAATCAAACGTCACGATTTCGGTAGCTTGTAACAGTTATTGCAATTTATTATTGATAACAAGTTTTATGAAACAGGACCCTGATAATGAAATGTGATGTGTACTACTCGATACTTACTGGTTTAATCATTGCTACAAGTGCTGCATTGATCTCAGTGATACCACTCTGTAGAGTCCTTACATAATGGTATGAACCATTCTCGCTGGATCGGATCACTTGGAAGTAGGCTTCAGGGAATACTGTATCAATGCGGATATTCTGTTGATGACATAGAGGAAAGAGCAAGGAAAGGAGAATGATTGTCATAACAAACATCAAAATACTATAAATGTATCATCCAAATTTGGTATCCATCATTGAAACTTCTTCAAAACTAGCTCCTTTAACAGTTTTTGTTGGTTTTGTTTTTGTTTTGTTGGGTATTCAATCTTAACAATTATGACAAATCCTAACATCTTAATCATCCAGTGACATCTATCTGTATACCATTAGGTGGAGCGTACTCTCACTAAACCATGTGTCAAGAGTAGGATCTATCTGTATAACACAATCCATACACGTATATCAAGAATCATCATTAATAATTTTGCAGTAAATTACTGGTTCAGTTAATTACAGTCCATGAGCTTGTTCACAACTAATTGGGAAGTAGATTAGTTTGGTTTAGAAAAGTGATGTTGAGACTTACACTAATCCCTTATAATTTGAAACAAATAGTGACAAAATTAGATAAAATATTAATGTTTCAAGTTTACCAGCCACAATGTCACAAATTTATCACATAATACAAGCCAATATAAGTCTCTCAAACTGGCAAAATAAGCTCATAAACCATTACAAAATGTAACATTCAAGTCTGAAACTTACAGGTATATCTGAAGGGAACATCTTGTGACTCTCTCTATCATAGACATCAATAGTTATCTCATAATAGAGGCCAGTCTCCAACACCCAGTTCCCACCAGGTACAATTACAAATCCTGCAAATAAAAATCATTCAAATCTCATTAAATTGGATAAACAATGCAGTAATGTTCAAGTAAGGAATAATTATGAACAGAAAAATAATTTGTGTTACTTTCTTTTCACTTTATAAAACACATCAGGTAATTTTCATTTTTTGTATTCTAATCAGTGTCCAATTTGCTCACCATTGGTTCAAACTTATGATTCTTTCCGTTATTGGGTGTCCTGCAAGATTTTCTTTTCTCTTCAAAGCGTGGAATGCAAAAAGTAATACAATAAAAAATAAGTAAATAAATAAAAAGAATGAAAATAGTTATATCTCATGCAACATGTTTTTTAAAAAGGGAATGATATTAAATAGAAACTTACCTAAGTACGCTGGTTCTATAACATAGATGTCTGCTGATGGTAGACTGTCCTTAAATCCCTTGAAATCTTTAAAATCTGAGTTGCACATCAGCATTAAGGATGCAATTCTTTATTTATTTCATAACATACAGACATCTCAAAAATCTCCAATCATTCCCATGTGACAAATCTCAAGAGCTCCATGTTCAGACAAAATGAATGAATTCACTAACTTCCTCTAGTGGTTCTGAATAGTTTTGGCACACTTTCTGTAGATATAAATAAAACTCCACATTTTGAATACATTATACAATTCAAGAGGATAAAGAAATAACTAGATGGAATTTTGACTGCGCGCAGTCAAAAATGATGCCTCCGCCATAGAGCAACTTTACAAACCAAAACGGAAGCAATTTTTTAAAATTCAAGTTTGATTGTAATCCATCTGTCGGTTTTAATAATAATGCATTCACAAACATTTTATAGTCATACATAATGAGCCCCATGACCTTTGACCTGATGACCCTAAAATCTAATCAGTTAATTGCCTCTGCAAGATACATATATACATGTCTTGAGTTTGATAGTAATATGTCTATTGGTTCTCATGATAATGCGATCACAAGCTATTTGTGCATACATAATGAGCCCTGTGACCTTTGACCTCGTGACCCCAAAATCTTATCAGTTCATTGGCTCTGTTAGATACAAACATGACCCAAGTTTGGCAGGAATCCATTGACCGGTTCTTGAGATAACGCGATCACAAGCTATTTTTGTATACATAATGAGCCCTGTGACCTTTGACCTTCGACCTCGTGACCCCAAAATCTAATCAGTTCATTGGCTCTGTTAGATACATACATGACCCAAGTTTGGCAGGAATCCATTGATCGGTTCTTGAGATAATGCGATCACAAGCCATTTTTGTATACATAATGAGCCCTGTGACCTTTGACCTCCGACCTCGTGACCCCAAAATCTAATCAGTTCATTGGCTCTGTTAGATACATACATGACCCAAGTTTTGCAGGAATCCATTGATCGGTTCTTGAGATATTGCGATCACAAGCTATTTTTGAATACATAATGAACCCTGTGACCTTTGACCTTCGATCTCGTGACCCCAAAATCTAATCAGTTCATTGGCTCTGTAAGATACATACATGATCCAAGTTTGGAGAGAATCCATCAATTGGTTCTTGAGATAACGCGATCACGAGAACGGGACGTACGGACGGACGGACGGACAACCAGAAAACATAATGATTTTGGGGAATTTTTTTAAAGCTTTATAACAAGATTGAAGAAAAAAAATCATATGTTGAATTTTAAATCATATCCAACTGATAGAACAATGAATCTTAAATAATGAAGCTTTAACGATTAAGCAATTTCAAATAATAAATGAGCATGTTACACTCAACAGAAGGGTGCCTGGATGGATCCAATCTTGGATATCTAAGCCTGTAACCCGATCCGTAGGGATTGTAAAAGGATACTCCTATCCTGAAGCATGATCTGTGTGTGTCCCAGAGCCAGACCGGTCACCATTGAATTGCTCTCAGTAAGTGATCCAACTGATGAGTTTCCAAGAGCAAGGCGATACTGGGTCGATGGCATGGTTACAACTGCAAATGGAAATGACAAAAGCAGGTGATAATATATCATCCATGCCCATATTTTTTGGGGAAAGAGACATATTGGGTAGTGTATAAGATTTAGTATTTATAGTGACAATGATGAAGAAATACGGAAATGAGAGTTTTCAATTACAGTTGATAAGACTAATAATAATGAAAAAGATATTTGTCATCACGTTGATAATTCTGATTAATGAGTTATACCCAAGGCACGTGGCCGAAGGGACTATACACCCTGATTTAAACCGATCAATGCTTTGCAATTCAGAGGATTTTTATTTTTGGGCCGGTCTGGTGTCAGTCTCGCTGGAGAGACTGGGATATTAGATACAAGCATGAAAATTAAAAATATTGAAGTCTAAGCAGTTATGTAACAAACTTACAAACTTTATCACAAGAAGGATATGGATATTTCATAAATGAGAACTTCTACTTCAAATTAATAGGCAGTATTCTTCTTTTACTGCTTTGCTCTTTCAACAACAAAAATGACATCAAAATATAGCAGGATTTAAATAAAAGGGGATATAATATCCAATTTTAGATTGGAAACAAAATTTGAAGACTCTGAAGAAGGTTTTTATTGTGATTTAAAATTGGCGTTGTTTTGGGGGAAGATAATGCTTACTTGTGGTCTTTCCCTGTCTGATTTTCTCCACAGTGTAGTAGATGTAGGCATGTACCAGGATGTAGATATCTTGAGATGGATTCAGGGTGAGATGATCTATGACTATGAGACGGACAACGCTCTGCTTTACATCCTATCAGAGGGAAGAAAGAAGAAAACAAAACAAGATATCACAAATCACTTTCTGCACTTCATATCACAAATCACTTTCTGCACTTCATATCACCACATCAAACTGCTCATGGAGTTTCTGTTTTAATAATAATAATATGGGATATTATATAGCGCATATATCCACTATGCAAGGTGCTCAAGGCGCCCCGAATACTGGCTCTGCTAGGCTGCCGATTTTGGCGCTTACAGCATTCAAGGAATTCCTTCCTACCGGTACCCATTTAGCACCTGGGTGGAGAGTGGCAAATGTAGATTAATGTCTTGCCAAAGGACATTAGTGCTGCGGCGGGACTCCAACCGCGGACCATGTGATCCACAGTCGACGACTTATCAACTTGTAAGAAAGGTGAATCAAACGCACTTTGCAGAATGTCAAAGCGCCTACAACATAAAATAGTGCGCTACTTTTTCGGGAGTTAGCTGGCTCAAACAACTCTGTTACAGCTGGAAAAACAGAAGGTAAATAAACATGATCTAGTTAGCACATGAGTGTGCATCAATACTCTACTAGTAATCATAATAATAACAAGTTCTGTTTCCTGAAGTCCCACCATGTACAGGTCTTCTTTGTAAATTCATGATCTAATAATTGATAAATTCCAAACTTTCTTCAGACCTGTTAAGAATAAAAAAAACCCAGGGCTCATCTCACCTTGAATCCAGCTGATTTGATCTTGACCCCGACCTTGGCTGACCCAGCCCTCAACCCTTCAATGAGGATCCTGTCTCCCTGCTTGCCTCCAGCCTCCATAGAGGTGATATGAGCAGGAGGGTCATACGGCAAGTCTTTGAACTGAACAATCCTGTGGAAAGGAAACAGTAAAGGGATTTGTAATTCAATCAAAGTCATGTATTCAATAAATGAGGTAAAGATAATTCGGATTCCTTGCTAATTACATTCAACTTAAAAGATAGATTATCTTGTTTGTACTTTGAATCAAGTTCTGTTTAACAATTATTGAAGATTCAAATTAGGTTCACAGTTTGGGAAGATTTTTTCATTAAATTTGTTTGTATTCAAGTTGAATTCAATATTTATCAAGTATATTTAAACTTATTGCTTTTCAAATATATTAAATTTGGGTGTTATATATTTATCAGAAAATTAAACTTATGTACAAAAAAACATAATTTAATGAAAGATAAGAGAATGACAGAAAATTCAAAAAGTTACTAGTTACTATTAACTTGGTTCAAGTGAAACAGATAAAAACATCAAAATTGACATTTTGTAGCACATAATGATAATAAGTCATCACACCATTAATCAACGATTTGTGTAGAACTAACAAGACAAAAAAAGAAATGCAAGGAAATGATAATCTAGGACAGAAACCAGGTAGTTTTTTTACATTTATTTATTTCCATCTCACTCTTCAAAATTGAATAATTTTACCTTAGAATGCTCTTGGCGTCCACAGCATTATCTGCCTCATAATCTGATAGGAGAGTCCACTCAAACTCCAATCCTTCCAGAGTGCTGAAGGTATTACCTGACATGAACCAAAACATCAAACAGTTTCTATTAATACCACCCCTTATATTCATCAGCAAGTAATGAAAAAAATAATAATCCAAAATTACATTTTCAACCCCCCCCCCCCCCAAGACAATTACAAGACCTAAATAATGTGAGATATCAAGGAAGAGAAATATAATAATATAACAATGAATAGATAATTAAACAATCAATACAAATATTTGTCAAAAAAATATGACTAAAAGTCAAACTGCTGGAACCCAATAATCTGAAATTGTTATAATTATTATATTCCTGCACAGATACTGGTAACCATTAGGTTTATTGATGGACAACACATTTGCAAATGATACTTCACATATGACTACATTACACAATAAAGTCAGTTCAAGACCAGAGGGGCATAACTCCATCTCATGAGTTTAATGTCCTTCTGAACTTCAGCAGATGATATCATACTATTATTAGTATTGTTATAATAAAAACATATCTTTTGAATGCCTCACCTTCATCGTCCAGAGCTCTGACTTCAAACTCCTCAGGAGAGTCCCCCAAATAGAGGATCCGTGTTGTAGTAGTTATATCAATCAGATCAATTTGATCAACGATGACATCACATCTGATTACTTGTCCACTTCCTACAGAACATAAAAAGGTGTTACAGCTTAGTACAAGTTTTTTTTTAAGTACACCTTATATCATGGATATTTTACCAAAAATATTAAATTTTAAAAAAAAAAAGCACATGGAACTGTTAACTATTTCTCTATTTGAGTATCTTGCAGGTGATCAAGCATGTCATTTCTGCAAAATTCATACGTTCAGAGGGGATTAGATCATATTAGTTGGTATCAAAATATTTTGACTTTTTTTTTTACTGTCTTGATCATTCTGCACAAAATAAAAATCCTGATTTTAGTCATCAAAAAAGGCAAGGTTTCATAGAAAAAACTTTCTAAGATATGTCGACAAAAGAAAAGGTCTCTTTTAATTTTACTTTCCTCTCTTACGAATTTCATACAGATCTTTCTGATGTCTACCAAAACTATTTTCCAAGTATATGTTTTCAATAACTCATGAAACCATTGTAATACAACTCAGTATTTTTTCCTGGAGAACCTATACTAAGGTAGAGATACAAATCACTTCATTAAAAAAAATTATGAATTTTAAATTGGTATATAATTTGATCTGTCTTCTGTTGCAACAGGAAAATGTTTTTGTTCAATTGTTGTATTTGGTGTCATTTTTATTTTTGTTCTTCTTCTACAAACCTAATTCCTCTGCAAACACCACACTCGTTCGCTGTGTTGGATGAGCGGACAATGCAGTAACAAGGGCTCTCTGGGCACATCCACTTCCGCTATCCTGATCAATGGGTTGAACAGAAGCCACATCAGCTCTCAAGGAACGCCTGCAGATCAAGATTACAAAATAAATTCATTTAGAATGAAGGCAGAGTGTATCAAGAATAAAACACTCAGAGGGGATTAATATGTTTTCATTGTATTAAATAAACCTTTACATGTACATCAGGATTGAATCAAATATGGGACAGAAAAAATCTCGAAAAGAGAAACATTATGTGGGAGTTAAAATCATATTTGATCTGAGGCAAACTAACAAACAAAACAAATATTTTCACCATATCGACTTGAAAGCACATCAGACACTAAATCTGAAGTGAAGGGGCAAATTTAAAGACAAAACAACTTTTAGTTTTAGTGCCTTATAAAACCAAAGGAATAAGTGGAAAAGAGATCAGATATTGGTACGAAAAATTGTATGCAAATTTTCCACAACCTCATTGATTTTAATGTGACAGCTGCTTGACAAGGCGCGGCCTTGGGCTTGGGTGTGTATTGAATGCGAGTTCTCAAGCTGAATACATCACAAACAAGTGACAAAATTGTCAATTTACATAGGCCTAGATTCTTATAAATATATTGGTTTGATTTGTTTCGATCTAGTTTCTCTTACATTTTCGCTTTCATAAAATTAATCTAGAATCTAGTCTAGGGTCTAGATCTAGATCTCGGTAAATTAATATTTATTTACAACAAGGGCAAGGCACTGCCGCTTGAAAAGGGTTGCAAATTGCAAATGCAATGGTTGCCCTTTATTTATGCTCCAACTAGTAGACTATATGGAATTAATAAAGATGGTGGATTTACCCTAGCAGTTTATATTGATCTGTCAAAGGCTTTTGATGTAATAGATCACTCAATATTAGTACAAAAATTAGATTACTATGGGATTAGAGGTATACCACTGAAGTGGTTAAGCAGCTATCTAGATTCAAGAAAACAACTTACTGAAATTAATAATATAAAATCTGAATATAAAACAGTTAGATATGGAGTGCCCCAGGGATCCATTTTAGGACCAATTTTATTTCTTATTTATATAAATGACATCATATTTTGCACTCAGTCGATTAACTTTATTTTATTTGCAGATGATACAAGTATTTTCTCATCAGGTAAAAATTTAAATTCACTGTACCAATTGGTAAACATGCAATTAAATAATATAAGTCAATGGATGAATGCTTATAAGTTGATTTTGAATACTGGAAAAACAAATTGCATGATCTTTGGAACTCGCCACACTGGAACTATTGATTTGAAATTACATTATAGGAATGAAGAAATAATAAAGGTCCAAAATATTATTTTTTGGGGCATCTACTTAGACGATAAACTGTCATGGAACTATAAATGATCTCTGTAAAAAACTTTCAAAGAATATTGGTGTACTCTATAGGTTAAAGTTTCTACCACAAAAAATATTAAAACTATTGTACTACTCCCTTGTATTTTCACACTTGAATTACTGTAATATAATTTGGGGTTTCACATCAAAGACCAACCTTAATACATAAGTTACAAAAACGAGTAGTACGTATAATAACTCATTCAAATTTCCTTTGTCATAGTGATCCTCTTTTTAAACAGTTGCAAATTTTGCCAATCCATGACATAATATTATTAAATGTTGCCACTTTTATGTTCATGCTATTGAAAAATATACCTTTACCAGACTCATTTAGGGAATGTTTCACAATGAATTGTCAAATCCACGAATATAATACCAGACACGCTCTTGATTTTCATTTACCTTTACATCGTACTTCAACCTCTAAAGATTCCATATTTTTTCATGGCCCATTAATTTGGAATAGTCTGCCAGATGTCTTAAAACAGTGTAATAATTTAAAATGCTTCAAATACATGTACAAGGGTTATTTAAGCGTAACAAATTGAAATTGTAATTTATTATGTAAAATGTAACACTCAAGCTGTAACTTCTTTCTTCTTATCTTCTCTCTCTTCTTGTCTTCCTGTCACTATCTTTACCTTGTTATCTTTATCTTTCCTCTGTCCTCTGTTGTTGTAAATGTATGTGTTTTTTATATAAAATAAGTTTGCATCTTGTTTATGCTTAGTATTTATTTGGGGATCATTCTCATCAAGCCAATTTTGGCTTTCATGATTCCCCACTTCCTTTTATCTTATGTTGATAATGAACGAACATGTATATACTTTTGATGTTTTTTAAAACAGAGTGAAATAAATAAATGAAATAAATAACAAATAAAATCTAACGTTAGACCTAGGTTAAGACAGTAAATCTGTACGCCGAAGGTCCGAGTAAGTGCAGCGCGGAATTTGGCCTACACTGAGCGAACATCACACTCATCAAAGCGACGCTGTACCCCGCCAGCTCGGGGTTGCACGAACCGGAGTCTCCGCTCGTATCAGATCCACCGTCGACGACATGCTGCAGCCAACAAAAGACTCACGACTCAGTTGTCAGTAAATAATAAAGTCATTAAACATACCATGTGTAGCAGCCTTGGCTGCCTTCAAGGGTAAAATTGATTGGTGTCGCTGCATAGTAAGGAAGCATTATCCTGGGAACATTCAGTTTGTGTCCAGTACATGATGAAAAATGTAATGAAAACGTAGCAAAAATGATGACTCCAAAAGTCACATGGAGTTGAAATGCCGACGCCATTTTCATGTATAACCAGTGTGTAGTTTGCGCGCGCATACAGTAATCGAGGTGATCCGAAATTCCCGCGGCCAACGCGGCATGCATCCAACGTCGTTCGTTCGTGGATCAATTTTTGATTTAATAATATGGTAAATTAGATGAAAACGATATCAATATCATTTATGTTTATGCTTTATTCTATTAAGTGGATTATATTAAGTGGATTACCATTGTAAGGTTCACCACCGTCATTTCCAAACAATCTGTAACAAAAATTAAATTTGATTTCCACACCACAGATGATTATCAGTTTATGGGCTTATCGCATTCGGTAAAAGGGAAATTCCCCTATCCGAATCGCGTTATTTTTTTTTCGGCGGCACAGATTGGGGTAAGGTGCGTGTTGAGCCTATGGGAAAGTTTAGGGTTAGGGTTATAGGTTAGGGTTAAATCAAGACCTCTTTTTAAAAAAAAGCCCCAATCTGTGCCGCAGAAGAAAATAACGCATCCGAATCTGAGGCTCACTGCCTGATTTGAAATCGGAAACTCTGGACTCTACGGGGCAGATACTTCAACCTATCGAAGGGAGGGGCAGAATGAGTTTACATCTTTAATATCTTTAATAATTATTTTGTAATCAAGACACAAATATGAATGAATATGAGGATATTCGGCCTTCTCATTGCCCGAAATTATCTGGTTAAAAGAGTGAAACCGAAGAGCGATAACAAATGTAATTTTGATATTGATTATATAAAATATATTCGGGCACCTCGCTATAAAATAGGACGATATTCACACTATGAATATGACGGACAAAGAAAGCGGACAAAATATACAGTTCCTCAGGTAAATAAAGGAACATCCCTTCGCTGCTTTTATGTAAAAAGGTGACTATGCATGTGACACCTGTTCTACACATTTTTACATAATAGCAGTGAAGGGATGTTTCTTTGTCTACCTGAGGAACTGTTTATTTTGTCCGCTTTCTTTGTCAGTCATATTCATAGTGTCAGGCACCTCACTTTCAAAATTTGGAGGCATTCATTCTGTTTCTAAATTCTGTTTCTAAATAATGCAAATGAGAAAGAAACATATTTTTAATCTTTAAAATTCTATGTTGTCATGGAACTAACATACTCTATTAATACCCAGAGACTAGAAGTTATATACAAGAAATAAAGTAAACCTTTGTTTAGACTTCCTGTAATGTATCATCTGATTTTGTTTGATATTTTGATATGAATGTGAAATGAAAGTCTTCAGTTAATGAATAAATTCTATTGAAAGAAAAAGAAACAGATATACTCTATAACCGGTTTCTCACATTTGGTGTTTCACGCAATCGACGCCGAATCGACGTTATTCCAAAGTAAGTGTTTGATGAGTAGGGGAGGCCGGGGACAATATTATAACACTTTTTTTCTCTCCAAATTTGACATATATCGACTTTATTATAGTTAAACAATGAAAGGTATGTTAAGGAATGAAAGATGCATATCTTGGCTTGAAATGTGTATGACTAGGTTCGGACGGTTAAAGCTTTTCAACACTAGTGTGGCTAGGAGGGACCACACAGCGAGGTCACTGACATATTATGGCTATCTCATCAACTCAGCTCTCAAATGACATAAGAAATGATCACGGGGGACCAACAGGCACCGATTGGGGAAGTTTTTTATATAGAAGGAGCAAGTAGTATACAAGTAGGACAGTCAGGCTTTAAGGGAAACAATTTTTTTTTGAAGCCATTAAAACCGGAAGTTAAGTGGTACAATCGTCCCACAACACGGGGCTATTATAACACATCCATGGTGTAGTTGCAGGGGCAACAAATCATATCCATGCAGTGAAAGCTTTTTTTCTAAACTTTCGTGACGCGTTGGACAGATATTCAACAGATCAGGGGCGGATCTAGCTTTTTTTTAAGGGGGGGGGGTGACTGCCTATCAGCAAAATTTGAAAATCTTGCCGACCAAAATTTCGCTCAGTTGGGGGGGGGGGGGTAGTGAGTACCAATTTTTTTTTCTTCATTTTGCCCCCCGAATTTCAAAATAGTGCCTACCAGTATTTCGGGGGGGGGGTAAAAAGCACTACAATAAAAAAAAAAATTACTTTTGGGAGGGGGCAGCCCAAAGGGGGAGGGTTAAAACCCTTAACCCCCCCCTCAAGATCCGCCCCTGCCAATAAATAATTTTAATAAAAACTATAACAAATGCTTGACTCATTTACATCATATTTTTCCACTTACCTGGGGAAAATTGTACTAGTTATTACGTTGTTTCATTTACCCCCGAGGAGAGCAGCTTCTACAAATGGGTATAAACATGATGATAACATTATCAGGGATGATTTCAATAATTGTTTCTCCTTATACACCATACTATTATTGCCGTTGGGTGTGATGGTTTGAAAATTCATTGGCGAGCGATAGAATTAAAAAAATTGTGAGGTCGCAGACTCGAAGTACGAAAAATTACATCTTATAAAGAGAAAAAACTCAATCCTGCTGGGGTAATTAGCACAGTCTCATAACGGAAGACTAAAATGACCTTTGATAAGTATTATAATTATATCATCTATGAATGCGAACGAGCTCTGGGGGAAATTTGCTCTAGGTAGGTTGAAATTAGGTAACACTAATTATCGAAAGGGATAAGATTCTTACTAAAAAAGGAAAGGAGCACGTGTCAAAGTATACAAAGGATATTGGGTGAAAATGGGGAATTCTTACACCTACAAAAAGAGGCACTCACCATGCGGGGATGAAAAAAGGGCACTTATGAGAATAGGAAATGGGCATTTGTCAACGAAAAAGGGGTACCCGTCAGATTTTGATAGGGGAATTTATAAAAGGTGATAAGGGGCATTAATGAAAAGGGGATAGGTCCCTTATAAGAAAGGAAAAGAGGCACGTGTCATCAGAGGTGAAAAGGGGCGCTTATCATACAGGCGCACCTGAAGAGGGGCACTGACCAGATATGAACTGACCAGGTATGAAAAGGGGCACTTATGAGAAGGGGGAAGTGGCTATTATCAAAAAGAAAAAGAGGCACATGTTAAAATAAACGGGGCACTTATCAGAGATGAAAAGGAATAATTATGAGAAGGGCAAAGAGCATTTATTAGAAAGGAAAAGGGGCACGTGTAATTATAAAAGGGGTAGTTATAACAGGTGAAAAGGGACACTCATCAGAGATGAAAAGAGCCCTTTTCAGGAGGGGAAAGGGCATTTATCTGAAGTGAAAAGGAGTAACTTCTCGTACCTGAAAAGGTCATTTACAAGAGATGAATAGGGGCATTTTATTTTGAGAAAGGTAAGCGTCTCTTTTTTAAATGGGTCACATGTGAAAATATAAGGTGTGCTTATCCGAGTTAAAGGGTGTAGTTATTACAAGGGGAAGGAGTACTTTTTACGAAGGAAATGGGGCACTGGTCAAAGTAAAAGGGGCACCTCTCAGATTTGAATAGGGCAATATTATTGTCAGAGGTGAAGGGGACACTTATCAGAAGTGAAAAAGGGTACTTCTCGTACCTGAAAAGGGGCATCTAGAGATTGAAGAGGGCACTCATTAAAATGGAAATTGAACACGGTATTGTAAAGGAAAAAGTGAAACTTGTCGAAGGAAAATGGACACGTATCAAAATAAAAGGGGCACTTTCCAGAGGTGAAAAACCGGGGAAAGGGCATACAAAATATTAATAGTGGCACTTTACAAAGTAAAATGGGCACTTATCCTACTGTAAAAAGGGGTACAAGTGGGGTACTTGAAAAAGTGTGGGGGGTGGGCACTGTGCACCATCTGCCCCCCCCCCCCCCCCGGGAGGGCCGCCTCCGCACGCGCACCAAGGTCTTTAAAAAGTACCAAATTCAATGAAGTCATAAAAAGCGGAGCTGGTTCAGCCACTGGTTTCAATAGGGAACATTTTTGTTACTCACAGGAATACCCCCCCCCCCCCCCCCCCCGTCATAGGTCCCTATTTTCCCTTGTTTGGAAATCTATCGTCCTTTAGACCTCTTTCCCTTATACGTCAACAACAAAAAGGGGAAAAGATTAATTTAATAGCCAAAATAGTAATTTAGAAACATGTGGAATGGATCGAGTTTCTCGCCATACCTGACTTTATTTGATTTTATATGCATGGTTAATAGGTCCATGATTGGATCATTTTCGCTTGTCCCCCCCCCCCCCCCCCCCCCCTCCCCCAGAGCTTCACCCAGATAACAATACGGCGTTGGGCCAACGTCGGCCACGGTCGGCAGGGTCGCAGTCGGCAAGCCAACGTTGGCTAATCGTTGGGCCATCGTCGCCATTTTTTACTGATAAATGGTGGCTATTGGTTGGCTCATTCGACGTTGGGCCAATGTTGGCTGAACGTTGGTCCATTGTCGCCATTTTCACTGATAAATGGTGGCTATTGGTTGGCTATTCGACGTTGGGCCAATGTTGGCTGAACGTTGGTCCATTGTCGCCATTTTCGCTGATAAATGGTGGCTATTGGTTGGCTATTCGACGTTAGTCCAATGTTTGCTGAACGTTGGTCCATTGTCGCCATTTTCACTGATAAATGGTGGCTATTGGTTGGCTATTCGACGTTGGGTTAATGTTGGCTGAACGTTGGTCCATTGTCGCCATTTTCACTGATAAATGGTGGCTATTGGTTAGCTATTCGACGTTGGGCCAGTGTTGGCTGAACGTTGGTCCATTGTCGCCATTTTCACTGATAAATGGTGGCTTTTGGTTGGCTATTCGACGTAGGGCTAACGTTGGTTTAATGTTGGTCCATTGTCGCCATTTTCACTGATAAATGGTGGCTTTGGGTTGGCTATTCGACGTTGGGCCAATGTTGGCTGAACGTTGGTCCATCGTCTCAATTATCACTGATAAATATTGGCTATTGGTTGGCTATTCGACGTTGGGCTAACGTTGGCTCATTGTCGCCATTTTCACTGATAAATGTTGGCTTTTGGTTGGCTAGTCGACGTTGAGCCAATGTTGGCTGAACGTTGGTCCATTGTCACCATTTTTACTGATAAATGGTGGATATTA